GAGACTCGCTCTAGTCAAAACCTCCGATAAGATCTCCTGATAAAAGCCTCATCATGACTGTTCCTTAAAGGCACTGAAGACCGTAAAACCAGGACTCTCAAATGAAGAATTCCAGTGAAGACCTTCAGTGAAGACTGTCAGTGAAGACCCCCTAGACTCCCGCCTGCTATATCCTTATATAGCCAGCGAGGCCCCTTTGTCTGCTGCTCCCTCTCATTCCTACCGATACTCTCATGCCAACATAAGGCCACGGGCGTGCGCTACAGCACCTGTCCAGCGAGAAACTCCGGCTCAGCACGGTAACGCGAACCTCTACGGAGGTTTGGCAGTAGGAAAGCAAATCACGCCATCTTCGGCGCTGTTTACGTGGCGGGCGTTAAAAGTTCCCAAACTGGCGGGGGATGGCGGCTTGGGCACTGTAGACGATGAAGGTGTCATCAAATGTTCACATTGGCGGGGAATGTGGGCTTTGGTAACGGACATGTGGAGGCAAAGTCTAAGGTGATCCACAGCTTATACATTAGAAAAATATTCACTGTACATATATGTAAACAAAGGGGGAAAAACTCGCTTGTGCACATAGCAAGCTGCCGTTAAATTAGACGATTAGGCTAAAATTTTTTGTGTTCGCCAGATGTTTCCCGCTATGTAGTAAATCTCAGTATTTCTTGCGCAAAACTGGTTGAGAATGTCGGAATAGTTTACGTAGCTGAATGCTGACCGTAAGATATTTCTAAAGGTTTTCGCTCAATATAATTCCACACTTTGTCAAAGATTAGGCTAAAATTTGTTGTGTTCGCCAGATATTTCCCGCTATGTAGTAAATCTCAATATTTCTTGCGCAAAACTGGTTGAGAATGTCGGAATAGTTTACGTAGCTGAATGCTGACCGTAAGATATTTCTAAAGGTTTTCGCTCAATATAATTCCACACTTTGTCAAAGATTAGGCTAAAATTTGTTGTGTTCGCCAGATGTTTCCCGCTATGTAGTAAATCTCAATATTTCTTGCGCAAAACTGGTTGAGAATGTCGGAATAGTTTACGTAGCTGAATGCTGACCGTAAGATATTTCTAAAGGTTTTCGCTCAATATAATTCCGCACTTTGTCAAAGATTAGGCTAAAATTTGTTGTGTTCGCCAGATGTTTCCCGCTATGTAGTAAATCTCAATATTTCTTGCGCAAAACTGGTTGAGAATGTCGGAATAGTTTACGTAGCTGAATGCTGACCGTAAGATATTTCCAAAGGTTTTCGCTCAATATAATTCCACACTTTGTCAAATAAAAAAAAAATGTTTGACATTCATTCGACTTAACAAATGCTTCTCATTATATTTTAATATGAGTATATATTGCAGATCAATTTATTTAAGCAGTATCCCATACAAGGTAACCATAATTTATATGGAAAAAATTATATATCATCTACTTATTGCTGAACGCGGTAGCATTTTTTTAAGTGCCCCCGTGAAATATTTCGGGTGCACCACGAAACGCGTGCGTATACGCTAAACAGTCAGGGGCACGTGAGTCCTTTTCTCCTGAAAGGATGCACGAGCGGGTTCTGGGACTATAGCGCTCGGTGGATGTGCCGCAGTCCTCACGAAGACCTAGCAAGAGCAGTGAGCGGATCGAAGACGGTGAACGACGTTTGGCTGGAGATAAAGCGTATATATAATCCTCAGTCACCCGCTATAGAGTTCGTCGCAATTTAAGCAACGAGATATAGCCTCCGAAGAAAACAAAGAAAGCTATCTCATATCTACTTACTGAAAGAATGGTCAATGTGTAGGCGAGCTGGTGCGTATAAATCATTATGTTTAAAACCTGAGACTGGGAAGGAAACTTGAGGATATACAATAAGAGACAGATGAAATATTACCGAACTTGTGGGACGAGCTTGGAAGAAGGGTATAAAAGCGTTCGTTGCATGAAGTGAATTTTGCTAGCTGTATTTGAGACGCTTGTCTGTTTGTTATCTTTCTTGTGTCTCTTCTAGTGTATCTTCAAGTTTCTTTTTCAATCTCAGGGCTTAAACATCATGAGTTATATCTACGTAATTGGCAGCAAAGCACTGCAGTAATATAGTACCAGTAGTTCTTGTTTAGTTCATGTGTGTGTGTGTGTGTGTGTGTGTATAGGGGGGGGGGGGGTTATTGTGCATTCGTTAGTTTGAGAAACTACCCTATTTTGAGTATTTCATTTTAATACGCTATACATTTACAAAGCGCATGAATTAGAATTGTTCAGCTAGTGTCTTGGTGGTTGGAATCATTGAAGCGCTGGTCTCGTATCGAGCTTCTCGCGACTGTCGTTAGGTGCGATGATGTTTGTATCATGAGCCACTCCAGCCTCATTTTCTTCCTCATTGTCGAGGTTCCTTCGAGTTCAATCATATCTCCCATGACGTATTTGCGGTAGAATTTAAATTTAACAAATTCGGGTAGAACACGATGCACATTATCGCGTTTCATCAAGATCACGGCTCATATTTAGTTAGGTTTTTTAATAATTCATATTGCATTGAAATTTATTGTGTCATATTCAGTATATAAAGATATGCTCATTGTGTTGCGCATTCCAAAATTTTGCGCGTTCAGAGCGCTCGTTCACGAATAACCACAGAAGCTTTTTGTGAAAGGATTTTCTTTATCCGCCTCGTTGTTTTCTTCTTTACGTTCCCCTCGTCCTCTCACGCACACGCGCACACCACGGAGAAATTTCGCCTTAATTTACAACAAATGCAATTTAATGTATTACAGTGTTTAAAAAAAAAGTTACGTATCTTATTTTACCGAAAAAAGAAAAACTAATAACCACTGATCGCGGAACGCTCATTCTTCACCCAAATGTAGCCCTGGCGGTTTGAACCACATGCCAAAGTTTAAAAGCAAAACGTTATTTTCATAAAACGTTGTAAGTGATTTTCTGAAATCTTAATAAGAAAACAGCGGCCCACGGAGTCCTTAAATATATAAAGCTGAAAAGCGCCAGTTGCCAAAAACGAGCTCAATTTTCCAATTGAAATTTTAAGAAGATCACGTATGACTTTTGAATAAGATAACGGTTTGTGCAAAAACTTTGGCATTCGATTCGGACCGCTAGCGCTACTTTTAGGCGGAGCATGAGCGTTCGGTGATGTGTCGATTATTTTTGCGGTGAGAACAAAAACATGCAAACTTCTTCGTGGAAACAAGCTGTATTTTTAGTTTCTCAATAGAAGTGGTTTCGTGTTGGAGCAACGAGTCAATACAATATTGCTATACCAACTTTGCGCACTTTGCGGCAGTAAATATGGCTGAAAAAGAATTACCCGTTGTTTGGCCACACCGTACAAAATCGTTATATAAAGAATACATTTTGAAATTGGTAAGTCTTGGTGTAATTCTTGATGTGCCGAGACTCGCGCGGCAACTTCCGACAAGAAGGCAGTTGGTTGGACTCTAAAAAATAAATGTTTAGTCTTCATTCATTCATTCATTTGTTTATTTTCTGTGTTCATCAAGAGCTGACGCCTTGGTAATGATGCACAACAAAATGTTCACAGGTTAGTTACAAAAGTCATAAAAGCTATGAAATTTGGGTTCCACACTGCGAGTCTGGCGCGGCGAACCGCGCCAGACTCGCAGTGTGAAAAGGGAAGACGTGGCGCGCTGCTTGTAAGAATGCGCTGCGTGTAGGAAAGTTTTCGCATTCCTACATGTCTAAGCCGAATTTTATAGGCATATCATCTATACGTTAGGCATATAGTAATCTTGCAGCAAAAAAGTGACGAATGGTTTTGAACCAGTTAAAATGAGCAAAGGAACTGCATTCACTGTTCTTTGAAGTTTCAAAGAACATGGTTATTTGAGTATGCGAATGCAAGCTAGCCACACCAAATAAAGCCTACTCAAATCCCTCAAGAAAATAAATGAATATGATGATCATTAAAGTATAGAGATTATGGCAGTATTTTTCTCCCCCTCCCCCCACTGGAAAAAATTTGAACGCCAATGGTCACGGAAGTAGGACCGCACTGAATCCATGTGAATTTTCCATTTTTGGTATATAAAAATGTGTCTAGCTCTTATTGGCTTCCAATAAATAGATATTGAATGACATTTACTCTAATGAAACGATAATATGAGTTATTATGGTAAAGAGGTCTTCGACCTTAAATATAATGCGTTTTCCGCTTCGCTGAGATGGCGAGATATGGGACACCTTGTGTTTGGTGGAATCATAAAAGACAATAAACGTAGAGTTTGACAACGAATGTCATGGACTCGCGCGAGACTTTATATCCGATTTTTTTTCCATTGCTCTTCTAGCCTTGCATCAAGATACTAAATTTAACACCCAACGGTGATTGCCAGTACTTAGCCAAAAAAGGAAGTTTTAAATTTAGAAATGCCATACACTCTAAAAAAAGCCCGTACGTCTACTTTCCCGCACAACACTCGGAGAGCCAATCACCGCAACCTACGGAGGCAGCTTAGTGAATGGCGATGCCGAAACATATGTTTAGACCAAAAAACGCGGTCTGAGTTGTGACATTAAGCAATGCAAAACGTCACGCTCGCATTGCTTAATGTCACAACTCAGTCTGCGTTTTTTGGTCTAATCATGGGTTTCGGCATCGTCATTCGCTAAGCTGCCTACGTAAGTTGCGCTGATTGACTCTCCAAAAATTGTGCGTGAAAGTAGACGCACAGACTTATTTTAGAGTGTAGCCCGCCTAAGTCACGATTCGTGTGATCGTTAACGACGCCGGTGATTCAACAACCCCTAAGTCATCTAATTCCTTTCGCAGGCCAAGCAATTTGGTTAAAGTGAAATCTGAATGGGAATAAAAGAAATTAGCAGAGCGCTAGAAGCACCAGGTACAAAATCGCGTAGCAGCTTTGTTATGCTGTGTACTCACGTTTTATGGAGGTTACTCAGTCTTACATTGAGCGCATAATTTAAGGTAATCGTGCAAACAGAACTCTACATGGCAAAATAGTTGTCCGAATACTATATGAGTTCTAAGAAGGTTGAAGGTGAGACCTTAGTTCGCTATGAGCCTTAACCGGTGTATATCATGAACACCTTGCTTTATAATGTTCGAGAATTAATTGACTAATATCAATAAGTTGTAATACACGCTAACAAGCGTGCTATCAATACTTCAAAAAGTAAGATACAGACTGCCGCAGAGAGAACATTTGTTGAGTTGTGCACGTTGATTCAGCATCAATAGACTTCTTTAAAAACTCCAAATGGCTGAACCTTTATGTCGCATTATAAGTGCCGCCTTTTTCTTTTTTCTTTTTTTTACTTTTAACATTTAAACGAATTATTTTGCAGGGTAAAAATTGGGGTGGCTAAAGTAGTCATTCTAAACGACATGAAACACGCCAAGACGTTCTACTCTTCAAAAGATGCCGTGGTCCGCCCTTTGAATGCGGTTCTTGAGCAAGTAAGACCCAATGCCAAAAGTAAGTGAAGATTACGTTCTAGCCAATTTATATCAGTACTCTCACCCAGAACATGTTCCTTGGTCCTTACTATTTACGCATTTGCAGCTGAAACGCCTAAACTACGCAGTGACTAATATTATCGTGCTCTAAGATCTTCGTGAGAATAAAAAATATTCCCTCAGCGTTTCAGAATTACAAACTCGCGAGACGAGAATAATTTGCGCATAGGATTATTCGGATTATCAACAGAACGCTGAGCGTTTCTTCATTTGAAAACATATCGTAAAAATAGTAGTACTCTAATTAACCTTTTCCTCGTCTGGAGTAAAATATGCCACAAGAAAATAGAAACCGTAATCGTAACATTTTTATACCACATTCGAGCTTCCGTAATGTCGTCTAGAATCGCCTTCAACTCTATCCTTATAAGATACCAGTTTTTTCTCAATCTTTTGTTTTTAAGATTTAAACGTCGATCATCGGCTTTGGTTCCCTTTTGTTGTCCTTCTAGTAATAAGCTGCCATCTGTTATCTTGATATTGTATTGAACCTTCGTATACAAAGCAAGATTGCATTTAAGGCTTCAGTCTGGGCCTCGTGTATGATATCTGCAATCTTCGCTTTGACATGACATTTGTTTTTAGAAAAAAGCAGTACTTACATTTTTTTTTTTTTTATTATTTCAACTTCTGGGAGCGAATGTTCACTCCAGAGCCCAGATGATCTTCGGACGAGCTTGGTCAAAAAGGCCTATATCTCTTATGCGTCTTTTCTTACATTGTCCATAGCAGCGTCTTCGTTTTTTCCTTCCGGCTCTCGGCTCCAACCTTTCTAATAAATTCGTTGGGGAGAAGAACATGAAAGAGTGTTTACACTGTATTCACAAAAAAAAAATACGTGAGGCTTGATAAAGGGGGAATCGTACATGCACCTTGTTTTCGCACCTGCGCTTGCAGTTTGAATACAGTCGTTCTTCTTCTTTTTTTCTTTTTTTTTCCGTTATCTTTTGACAGAGATAACGCTTCTCTAGAAGAAGTTATATGATGAGATGGTATCCTTCGCATCAGCTGAATGTCAAATAAAGGAACTACGTATGACAGGCTAACTTTCGAAATAGTCTATGCTTGACGAATACAATCCCTGGAGGAGGGGAAAAGATGGACAAAGGACAGAAACAAATCTCCAAACTCCGCTAGGTGACTAGTGCGCGACCGAAACAATCCACCTGGTTCGGGTATCGAACCCGGGACCTCTCCATTTCCACTGCAGCGCTCTACCAACTGAGCTAACCAGGAGTTAGACGTCAGAAGAGCAAACGGGTTTTATCAACTGCCACCAGTCTTACACCAACAAGCGTGAAGCTTGCAATTTTAAGGTTATGATTGTAAAGAAATTAAATGCAAAGGTGCAAGCGAGCTGTACAAGAATGACGAAAATAATCCCTGGAGAAGTGGAACAAGAGGGACAAAGGGCAAACACAAATCACCCGGACCAGGCGGATTTTTTTGTTGTCACACCAGTCACCTAGCTTTGTTTGAAGATTTGTGTTTGTCCTTTGTGCCTCTTGTTCCCCTTCTCTAGGGACTATTTTCATTATTCTTGTCCAGCTCGCTTGCACCTTTGCATTTAATTGCATTATAATCATACTCTACGCTTATTTTGACACTCTTGCGCTACGTTTCCACAGCTTTGGAAGTCGCAACAAACGGGAAAATAGCGATGGCAGCAAATTCAGGTTCAAGCATGATATATTCAAATACAAATCAAGAATTCTCCCGAAGCTACACCTTCTACATTCGGAAATACTTCGGGGCCCTGGGAACACGTCCAGCCAAATCGCGACGGACATCACGAGCGCGTGCTGGAGGCGAACGTTTTGGCGCATTCTTAGTTTGTATATGATCGCAGAGATGCATTGCTTCAAGGTTTACTATCAGTGGGTATCAGGGCATGTTGGATTTAAAAAAAACGCAAACGTTAACCAGCGTTGTTTAACCACACCTGTTAACTCCCAATCTCCAGAATACCCTGAAGATTATTGCATAATAACCTTAAAAAAAAGCAAAAAAAACATCAGTCTTCTTTGTTTCCCAGCCCATTCCTTTCCGGCCGAACCGCGCCTAAAGGCTGTGTGACATGCATCACTCTGCCAAAACGATTTCTGCGACATCACTTCCTGTCAGATGACAGAAATTACATTCATGTCTGCATCACAGAAATTGCCTTTATGTCTGCATCACAGAAATTGCATCGTAGTGATTTCGGGTGACGTAAAGTTCAACTTCCTTTGTAGCGCTCCGGGGTGCGATATAACGTAAACGAGTGGATATACATTTTCTTATTATTTTTACTCTGTGTGTGCGAATAGTGGTTTGTGTCGAGTTGCACAGTGTCATTCCTAGATTCAACACTGTGAAAAAGCCTGGAATGTCGTCTCTTTCCCATGCACTCCGAAGCTATGAACGACGCACCTGAACCACTATTCGCACATCCCTAATTTTTACTTATCCAAGCGAAAGTTCCGGCGTGTGTGAAATTGTCTTTTACACGCAACAAGAACGGTAATAGCTATAGAAAGGCAATATTCCACTCTGCCTTTTCCAGTCACGTGACACGGTGCGATCGCACCAACGCTGCGACAGAATTACAAAATCGATGAAAGCCTGTCGCAGAGCCACTCTGGCAGTGCAATATATCCCTTTCGAAAGTCACGTGCCGATTATTAGAAGGTCGGAAACAATGCACGATGGGCGAAACAACTGGCATTGTAGAACATGCAAGCCATGCCATAATAGAGCGAGAGTCGTAGTGCGGGAAACGGTACGATTCGACGAGCCAATCAAACGGCGTCGAAAGTGCAACGTCACTGTACTCATCACATTTTTTTTGCAAGATGTCTATATCTCATCGTGATTAAACAAACTATACCAACTTGACATAACATAAATAACAATTTAATCAGATGTTTCGTCTCCCATGCCGGAGACATCATCAGTGAAGCCCAGAGGCTTGCTGCCTCTTGGCTTCAGTGATTTAAAGCCAAAGTCTTATATGACTCATCGTTCAGTCGACCTTGAAAAAAAAACGTTGGCGACACGAAAGATCTCAAAATACGCCGAAAGTCCGTCGTCAGAGAGCGCGCTGCCTTCGGAGGTTCACTATCACCGGGACCACAGCCTACGCCACGATCCGAGTGAGCCAAAGGCAATGCAATTAAGAAGAAGGATGACAAAGTGAATTAAGAGGAATTAAAGCGAAATAAGTAAATAATGTGTTTGTCTTTAATGCATCGGCGCTTGGGCTTTTGCGTTTAAGTCGTCTTAGGAATTACATGAAAGACTTTGTGACTTGTAAATTGTAGTTTGTGTTATGTCAAATCGCTGCCTTTCGCTTAGTTATGATGAGTCCCGGCTTCTGGAAAATATTGTGTACTTGCTCATCGTAGTCGCAAAACCGGGATGCTGGTGAACGAAAACACCACATCAAAAGAGACGAGTCTCTCGTCGTCACGTAGCTCTAAATCGGAAACAAGCCCTATGAAGTTACTAGAGTTCTGCACGTACGTTAGAGTCTTTCCGGTGAGGGGTGAGAGAAGCCTGTGGAGGTAGTTGGAGACGGCGCGCAAAGGTGACGTTGCGAAGTCCACAATAGGTCGAAGTGGTACACCGGCCTTGTGTATCCTGGAGAGGCCGTACAACTCCGGGATGAATCCGTTCCTGCAGATGAGCCTCATGTAAAGGCTGCGGAAGTCGGGGTATTTCTGGAAGATGATTGTCAGTGTTTTGTTGGGCGTTTCTTGCACTTTTCTCGTGGTTTCTCTTGGCAAGGAAGTGTAGGCACTGCTGCCAAGGAGCTCGAGCAGCTTTTGGTCGTACTTCACCCTGTCCATGACGACGGTGGCGTTCCCCTTGTCTGCCCGCAACACTACGATGTCTTTGTCCTCCTTGAGGTGCCGCAAGGCCTGGTTTTCCTCTGCCGAAATGTTAAGAGGTGTCCGCTGAACTGCCTGAGATATGACACCGATTGCTTTCAACCGAGCCTCCTCGCGAGTAGGCAGGTCCAACCCACAAAGACCGTCTTCGATGGACGCAACCATAGCAGGAAGGAGGACCTTGCGATGGTTAAGTTAAAACCCTGGCCTCTTGCCAGTACCGATGTCTCTGAAGGGGAGAGCTCTCTCGATGAAAGATCGCACACGAACCTGGTGTCGACGCCACGTAGGCTGGAGGCTGAGTTTTCCAGCTGAGGTGCAGCCAGCTTCTTTGCATGCACCTGTTCTTTGGTGCGAGAGCACGTGGAAGCGGTGTCCCTGGCCAAAGCATCCAGGGCCTAGGCGACGCGTGTTCTTTTCTTTTCGTCACTCACCCGTGAACAAGGAACCGAACTGGTCCCGAAACGTCGGGTAAATGTTTATTAAATTTTTGGCTAGAGTCCCTATTTTTCGCTTCGTTTCTGGCGCTGGTCATTTATCCGTGAGAATGCCGTGGTCGCTCTTTGTTTCTCTCTCAATATTGAAAGACTGTCATCATAAAAAAAATAGTGGTGAAAAGGGTTCAGTTAAATTACCAATCTTAAGTGGTAAATTTCGTTTTTCGCCAGGACCAACTAAACTACAAAAAAGCGCCGAAGTCGTATTTGTGCTAATACTGTCGCCCAGTGTACAGGTCAACTGCTGCATTGCTAGAAAAAAAAAGCAATACAGACACCTGCAACACATGTGGTGTAGCTGAAGATATTAAGCATCATCTCTTTGAAGACTTCTAGAAACTGAAGCAGTGATGAAAATATCATGGTTCGGCGTTAAAACACACCATCGTATACTCGGAAACAACTTTTCTCCGCATTGCAGTGAAAGGAACGCGCACGCATGTCGTCCCGTTTTAAGCGCGGATTAAAGCCGTGCGCGCACTTTCGATCTCTCCTCGGTAATACCAAGGGAAGTTGTCCCCGATTATATTCCTACAAGACGTGGAGGAAATTGTTTATGTTATTGAAAGGGGCTAAAATAGTAACCCCAAAATATATTTCTTAACTTCCAGGAAGCCGCAGGAATACAGAATTAGCCATAAAAAAACGCACCATAAAAGAAACGGGATGGTGTAATATTTCTTACAAATCTGTTTTATATTCAGTTTCACAATTCATATTAGATATATTAGATATATTTATTTCTAAAGCTGCGATGAAAAATTCAGCCTTTTTTATTTTAAATGTGTTGACTAATTCTCGTTGACCACGATCCTTTTGGTTTTTACTCTGCTGAGTGCGTTAGCGCAGTCCGCGGGCGGCAGTCTGAAATAACGTTAGTGAACTTTGAAGTGGACAGTGCTATGGCATTGTCCACGATGTTTTCTTAATTTTATTTTGACATTTTCAGTTTATCTTCCGAAGCTATATCTGATTATAAAATTTAGATACTTTTTGTTCACTTTGTGTTGGATCTTATCAGCGCATTTTCTGAAACCACTAGCCCTGCCAATAAAAATGCTCTAAGCTAGAGATTTGTACATTTATTTTTGATAATTATTTTTTATTACTGCAGAACTTTTTTTAAACAAACTCGTGTACTTCGATAAAACCCTAAATATATTTTAATATAGTAAGCTGAAATATTACTTAAGTAATTCGGTTGATCTTTGTGTTTTAAACAATTTATTTAGACTCAAGATAAATACAGAGCTTTGTGCTAAGGGCTTTGAGAGCAAATTGTCCCTCTGGTTGCTGGAGTGTTAACTGAAAATACGAATTGGCGGTTAGATTTGTTGTACTGTTTGACACTGGCCCGATAAAAAAAACACTACTATTAAATTTTATTTATTTATGCTGTGTAGAACTACTTGATTTGAATAATATTCTTGATTAGATGCGTACACAAGTTTACCCAGTAATAATAATGCCCGGCAATCAACTATTCTAAACCGCTCTCAGACTTGCGAAGAGTTCGATACATAGTAGGTTAAGAAAGTTTTTGGAACATGGTTTCACTGAAAACCCAACCAAGACGATTGCTGGATTTTGCACACGCAGAACATGCATTCGACGCAATTATTTATATATAACCGCATTTTTAGTTGTTCCAGGCCTTACTAATTTTAATGGAAAAGCGTGGACACAGAACAGGACCTTCATCTTGCATGCATTTAGAGACCTTGGAATTGGGAAGCCTTCAATGGAAGATCATATCATGGTAAGCCGTCAGTAAAATTGCGTTCTTGGTTGGGATGACAAGAGTACGCACCTTGTCTTACTATCTGAAATGTGATGAGGAATACATTTTAACGTAAAGATCTCGAATTTAGGTCAATATATGTGGCATAATATACACTCCAGTTCAGAGATTAAGAGTACCTTTTTAGTGATCTCGGCAACGAGCCTAGATCAAGGCAATTGTACATTTTGTTAACTATTCAGATCCACAGTGCTGGAGTTACTCCCCTAAGTATTAGTTAGGTGTATAATTAAAAAAAATAAACTTCTACATTCATGAGGACATTTTTCGCAAACTTGTTTATTTCAAACTTGTTTCTGCCATTAGATCCAACAAGATCCCACACACATTTATAAATAAAGTCGCACACACCTTACGATTTTAATTCCACAAACAAATAGTTCGTAGATCCGATGTCTGGGTTTTGATACATATATCATAGTTTGTGAATTCGGCTTTAGAAAACAAGCTTGCTGTTAGTTTAAAAAAATGTCACAGATGCTATTTATTTTGACAAATCTTTGTTAATTTCAGCTTCCGAGCCTAATCTTGTTTATTCATTTGCGAAACCAAGCGCACTATAGCAAAAAGCTTATCAATGTAGTACCATTGCCTTAAAAATAATTCCCACCAATAACTTATATGAGGGTTCACGAGCAGACTGTATTAAAGGAAAATCGGTGTTGCATTTCGTGGGATGCAACGGTGCCCCAAGAAATGACAAAAGCAACGGCTGTGTCAGTACACCTTATTTGTAGTCGAGATCCTACAAAATCTGTAGAACCGTCACAAAAATCCCAGGCAGATCATATTATGTCTCGTAGTTTGATTTACCTCTGAGACTCTTCAGTGCATTGGCTATATAGTAAAAAAATATCGCTGAAATCGTTTTCAGGAAATCATACATTTCGTGACCAAGAAAAAAAATTTAGCTTTCACATTGAGTGGCGTAGCAACACAATTTGCTTCAAAAATATTTTTATTTTATTCTTTTTTTATGAAACCTTTCTTGGAGTTTATAAAGTATTTATTTGCCTGTTAGAGGTACGAAAACATCTATTTAAAATTATGTTTTAGACAACGTGATTCTTGTATAGATAATAAGGCCACGCTGATTCACTCAGTAGACCAAAAATGTTGCAAGTGCAGTATAATTTTTTTTTTTTTCATTTCCGATAAATTTTATTTTTGCGTGAAATATGATTAAGACCCCCAAGTTATTAATTTCAGCATATATTCTGTTTTGTGACCCCTATCTGAACAAAAAACGACTGCGTGCTACTTGCCAGCCGCACTAGCATTAAATACATCGCTTTTGTTATGTTTTACCAGAGATGAAAAACAAATGTTAGTTTATTTTTGCTTGGCTTCCCTTTCTTACCCAGGAAGAGTTGCAGGAGCTGGTCAGCCGAATATCTAACACAACGGGGAGCCTGATCAACGTCATCGATTACATCAAAGCAAGCGTGTTCAACAACATCGCTGCTGTTATGTTTGGATCCAGATTCAAGATAGGGGACGCCAAGCACGACTACTTAGTGAAGCTTGTTAGAAACATCCAGGATGGTTTTGAAACCGGCTTGTTGGTAGATAAGAAACCAAAGTGGCTCAGTAGAGTCGCGATCCGTCTTCAAACGAAAGTACAAATCAATGAAAAATCTCGGCTCATGATACAAGATTTTGTCAAGTAAGCCCCTGAACCTCCTTAAGATCAGAAAGAAAAAACAAACATGCGCTCCAAAATGCGACTTCGATAAACCTACTCCAGTTTCGTGATACATTTCCCAATAATTTTACTTTTAGTGTACTATCTTTCAAAATATGTAAGTAGAAAAAGAAAAGTTCCGCTTCCGAGCGATTTGTAACTGTAAGGAGTCACTAACTGTTAACAATTCTAGCCAAATTTAAAACTAATTGGTATTGACATGAACGCAATCAGACATAGCAAGAGAGTATAGATTTATCGCTTTCAAATATGAAAAATCGATTTATTACAAAATTTGAAGCCAGAGGCTGTAAAGGAGGCGTGACATGATTTTCTTAGTTGCGCTAAATACTATTCAGAATCACTCCCTTACATTCATACCTGAATAAACTTGTCTTAGTATATTTGTTTTCTCGGGAAGGGTAGTCGCCTATACTTCGTCTCATCCTACGATGGACTAAAGGCCAAAGCCACGGGCCGCAAGGTCCAATCTTGTTGCAAGCTAAAATATGGCACGCTTAGCATTGGTTAGGCGTGGACGAATGATCCTTTGAGTCCAAAAGCGCTGCATCATTTTTATAGCTTCGACACTGCAAAGAGCTTGTATGACATAGCTTTCTTTGCAATATAAAATTGTTGAGTCACTCAGTGCTATCCAATCCGAACTACCGTCCTCCCTTCCCCATTAGTGATTTGAGACGGGGGCGCCCATACGTGCATCAAAGCGAAATACCACGCAACTTGTAAGTGGCTCGTGATTGGATCTGGCGGTCCGTAGCTTCTGCCTTTAGTCCATCGTAGGGTGAGACGAAGTATAGAAGATTCGAGAAATATGAGCATCTTTCGTTTCCTCTACTCGGAGCGTCAACAAGCTGTCATATGGCCTTGCGCCTATCCTATGGGGAGCGCAAGTAAGTCTGCGTCTTTTGCGGGAGTTTCAGAGAAATGAGAACGCCGAGTTTTGATTGGCTCTGATTGAAAATATTGGGTAGACCAGAAATCAACCTGCCTCGAGGTTAGCCCACTAACTTTCAATTACAGCCAATCGGAGCTCAGCGTCGTTATGACGCAACCGCAACAGCTGCACAAGAAGAAAACTTGCTCTACGCATACCGCCAACGTGAATCAATCCCACGCGCTAGGGTTGGCAAAATAGAATATGCATGCTGAGCTCCAGGCATTTTTCGGCTATTTTCATCACCGCTGTGATTGGACGCGAGCCACTACCCGAGCATGCGCTTAGGCATTGACAGCTACACTCTAAAAAACAAAAAAGCCCGTGCGCCTACTTTCCCGCACAGCACTCGGAGAGCCAATCACCGCAGCTTATGGTGGCAGCTCAGCGAATGACGATGCCGAAACATATGTTTAGACCAAAAAAAAACGCAGTCTGAGTTGTGACATTAAGGAATGCAAGCATGACGTTTTGCGTTGCTTAATGTCACAACTCAGACTGCGTTTTTTGGTCCAAACATATTTTTCGGCGTCGTCATTCGCTGAGCTGTTTCCGTAAGCTGCGGTGATTGGCTCTCCAAGTGCTGTGTGGGAAAGTAGACGCACTGACTTTTTTTAGAGTCTACGAGCCGAAGTCGAGTGCTCCCGCAGTTCTCGTGTCCAATCCTTGTGCCACGCTCGACTGTCGTCAGGCGAGTGGTCTTGATCCCACAATTACGTCATCCAGCTTTGTGAACTTAAGACTGAAAGCGAGAGTCCACTTCTATTCTCGCCATTTCACCGCGATAAAAAAGCTTTTGAATCAGTGGTGGTCTGTGCAAGTATGCAGGTACATCAAAGTAAACTTATTTTAGGAATACCCAGGCTTTTTTTTTTACTGCTCCCGGCGTGTTATTTGTTATCTCGAAATTTAAGGTAGCTACTGAGAAAACTTCAAAAAAAGGCAATGCCAAAGCCACCATTAACATTTTTCGGCGCTTTCCACTTGGGTCAGCAAATGGAACGTAGACAACAAGGCGTACGCCCTTAGCCCCCGAACGTCATCGCTCGTGGATCCCCGCAGTGCTGCCTGGTAGTTCGCGTCAGCGTCGCCGCCGGAGCGTATTGCAGCGCCTCAGAACGAACACGACACGAGAGCACGCGGCGAAGCCAAGGCGGATACGCCCGCCGGTTTGCGGTGACTCTCGTCGAAATTCGGTATGTTTGCCGCTTCGGGCGGGTCGGCGCGTTCCGCGAACAATGAACGTCATGCATAGGCCTTGTATCCTAGGTTGCATTGGGTGACATCACACATTGAATAACTTCCGAAACGAGCAGGCAATTAAAAAAAAATGGTATTTTACGAGTCCCTTTCTTTTCCTCGTGCTGCTGGCGTCAGCTTCTTTCAGCATTCATTTAACACCGTCACACACCTTGTAACCCGTCGGGGTAAAAGCTTCACTGCCAGGCCCCATATAACAACACCTCACTCCGTACTTTTAGTGTTGCCAGTAGAAAATCTGAACCTTTCGGGCCAAACTTAAATAATGAAAAATCTTCACGAAAATTGTATTTTGGCTAGTAATTTGGGTTACTAGGTCAGATCATCATCATCATCATTTATTATCCTTGAAGGCCCTTACGGGCATTACACAAGGGAGTGGTACATTTGTTATTATTTTCCTTAATCGAACACTTCCGCACACAATTTTAACACAATAGAAGAGGAAACTAGTCGGATAATGAAGATATGAAAGTGGTTACAGAGGCGGCAAATTTATGTGTGTCAATTATGGTAACAATGTCATTTGGTAGTATGTTCCAATCGTTTATTGCCAAAGGTAAAGTTGAATTACTGTATGAAGTAGTTGACGAAAAAATGGGCCGCAACTTGCAGGAGTGGTCAAAGCGGGGGAAAATCTGCCACGGGGGTAAAAGCAGAGATTCACGAAGAGGCATGTTATAGTGAAAGATTCGGTGAAGGAGAGAGAGACGGGACACTCGGCGCCTCAATGAAAGCGTGTGAAGGTTAGCTGCTTCGCGCAATCCAGATATGCTCGTGAATGGTGAGCAATCAGAAAAAATAAAACGAAGAGCCCTGTTTTGGATGGATTTAAGTTTGTTAGATAGGTAAGATTGCCAAGGGCACCACACAGAAGAAGCGAATTCAAGCTTAGACCGAACCAAAGTTGAGTATGCTAATTGTTTTATCTCTGGTGTTGCGGGTTTCAGGTTTCGGCGCAAAAAACCGAGGGTATACGGTTTGCGCTAGCTACTATATTACTGATGTGAGACGTCCATGAAAGGTCATATGTTAAATGAATACCGAGATATTTATATGAACTGCAAATGGTGATGGGGGACGCGTCAAAATGGTAAGAAAAAGGTTGAAGAGCACGACGAGAAAAGGAAAGGGATTTACATTTGTCAAAATTGAGAGTCATCTGCCATTTATTGCACCATTGAATGACTTGTGAAATATCTGTTTGCAAGGTATGGTGATCGCCGAACGAGGGAATGGGCCTGTAAATTGCGCAGTCGTCTGCAAATAACCGAACTGATGAGGAGATGTGCTCATGAATATCATTGATGTAGATTAAAAAGAGTAAGGGCCCGAGCACACCACCCGAGGGACGCCTGAGGTTACCGGGCACGAGGGAGATTTAGAGTTATTAATGGTGGTGTACTGGGTGCGGTTAGTCAAGAATTCGGATATCCAATTTACGATAGTGGGATGGATCTTAAATTCGTTAAGTTTTATTTTAAGACGTTGATGAGGGACCCTATCAAACGCTTTAGAAAAGTCGAGAAAAATGGCGTCAGCCTGAATGTTGGTATTAAAAGCTGCGTGAATGTCATGAAGAAACGCCGTTAGTTGGGTTGTTGGTGATTAAAAAGGAGGTTGTTATCTTCTGAATAATTGATTATATTGGAGTAAAGTACGTGTTCCATGAGCTTAGATGATACGCAAGTTAGGGAGATGGGCCGATAGTTTGTAATTAGGTGGCGGTCACCAGATTTGAACACAGGGGTTACGTTTCCAGTTTTCCAATCCCTCGGAATTTCAGAAAGTTTAATTGACTGGGAAAATATGTCACAAAGAAAAGCTGCGGAAATGTGTTTCGTGTTTATTAGAACCTTCGAATTGATTTGGTCATCTCCTGAGCTGGAAGACAGCTTCAAGTTCTCAATTGCTTTCAGGACGCCGGCATAGTCAAAAGTGATGGGCCCCATAGGAGTGTGCAATGACTGACGTGGGACAGGAATATTACTCAGGTTTTCTTCTGTAAAGACAGAACTAAATAAGTTATTAAGTGAAAGACACTTCGGTGATCGGAAAGATTATGCCCGCTGTTGTCAGTGAATTGCAAGGGAGACGACGTAGAAGGATTAATAATCTTCCAAAATTTCTTTGGCTTGTTAACCAAAATGTTGGAGAGGTCCCGAGTATATAATTTAGTTTTTAATTCCTTTATAGCTGTTTTGTATCCCGTTGCACAATCGTGGTATTTGTTCCAGGCTTCCAGTGTGTCGCAACACTTAGCCTGTCTATAAAGCCTTTTCTTTTTGTTGGAGTGCTTATGAATGGTTTTGTTATACCACGGATTGTTGTTATCAGAGATGACACGAGTGAGTGGTATGAAAGACTCAATAAGTTGATTTAGTTTATCTTTGTACAGCGTCCAGTTAGCGTTGACAGATCTTTCCTCAAAACCGTGAGAGAACGTGTCGTAGAAGTGTTCCAGTTGCGAGTTGACAGAGCTATAGTCAGCACCCGCGTAATTCCGAATGAATTTAGTATAGCGTGATTTGTGAGGAGTGGTAAGGGAGAGTGTTAATTCAATAACAAGATGGTCACTAATGCCGGGTAAGTATGTAACATTACTGATAAGGTCTGGCTCTTGCGTTCGGCACAAGTCCAGCACATTGCTGTAGATTTTGGTAGTTCTGGTAGGTTGAGTGATAACGTTGGAAAAATTAAAGTCAAGGCAAAGGTCTACGAAAGCATCGGAAAAAGCACTGCCGGAGGAGAGGGCAGTCCAATCAATGTCTGGGCGATTAACGTCTCCAAGAAGAACAAGGGTGGCACTAGGAAAAGGGGATGTAAGCTGAAAGAGACACTTATGAAGCTCAGTAATGAAATCCCTACCACCATCTGGCGGCCTGTAACATACACCCCTTATAATACTTGGCTTAGAGGTAAGCTTCTACTGGCGTTATTCTGACGGCGTTGGTAGATTGAAGATTCCGGCATCCAGAGTGGATCGGGTGAAAAAGTTCTCGTGACTCCATTTGAAGCCATAAACGCTTGATTATCACTCACACCTTCGCGTGCAGCACAAGGAAATCTTCATCTCGGTAACAGAATTAAAATCCCGGGCTCCCTCAACATGAACGAACCTCGGTGAAAAAGACTGCACTTGTCTGTCGTTTCGCTTCTCTATTGATTTACTCCAACCACGCAATTAACAAAAAGAAATGATACACAAAATCCTTAACTCTTTTTTTTACCCCCCCTAATAAACCATACTTTTAATAAATATAATTTTAGTGCGTTATCAGAATTACATTTACTAGTTTAACCGCAGGTTTTGCAAGTTCGAAAATAGTTAGAAACGTGTTCCGGGAGAAGGCCAGAGAAAGATGGCGCCATCAGTGCACAAGCCCTGACCTCACAGCCCTGAGGGCGCCAACTGGCAGAACTGGCGAACATCTTTCCAGCGTTATCTGGAAGATCACTGGAAAAACTCAGTGGTAACCTACTTCTACTGGGCAGCCGAGCGTTTGGAACAACACCACCTAGATAGGCATGTCATAGTGCTGAAGTTTCAACATCACCCTATAGATGCGAACGTGATTAGACCGAGTGCTGCCTCAGTGTTCGGCTCGGACTCGTGTCCTCACTGGTTCGAGACGAGTTACAGCCGAACGCTTATGCAACACTCGTATCCAATCACGTTCGTCTCCTTGGGTGACGTTGATAATTCTGCGATACGGCCTTTTCATCTACGGTGTGTTGTCTGGAGATGCCGGACGAAGCTCGCCAATCTCGGATGCCGCAGCATTGATTGTTCAGTTCAGTACTTTGGCACCATAATCTTCTAAGAGTTTCATAAGCAATTCCCTTCGATACTTGTAAAAAAAATTAAGGTTTCTTTAGTCTTTCCGAATAGATTTGCTCTCGGAAATGCCGTCGTGTTCTAAATTAAATAGGTTACTTAAATATACTTTCAATCTTCGTAACAGCACCCTGCTTTCTGACGCGGGCATGTTTCACGACACCAGGTGCATTCATTTATATCAACGAGTGCATTGAAGTGGTCGATAACCGTCAAATTGTTTTTAAGTGGCTATTCCAAGTTACTTTTTCTTCTCTAAGCATTCGACAACTCGTGCAATCCCGTCTTTGTTTTATTCGTAGAGAAAAAATCACGGAACACAAAAACACACTGAATCCAGACTTCAATCGAGACTTCATCGATGGCTACATAAAGAAGATAAAGGAAAGTGATTCTGAGTCAGCTTCTCATTTCAACGGTAGGTTGACACAAACCATTGTTACAGCTGGCATACTTTCTAAGAAAAAGAATATCAGTGAGTTTGCTTTCCTGCAGAGCACAAAACAACCAATCACAGCACACAGTTGAAAGGACAACAGCAAATGACGAAGCTAAGAATAGGATTAGACCAAAGAATACGATGTGCTCAGGAACAATGTGCACGACGTTTTCCTTGCTCCATCGGAGTGCACAAATCAAGTCGTATTATAAGCTTCGCCATTCGCTGACATCTTTCTATCCTAGACCTTGCTTTTTTATCTTATGTTCTGCAGGAAAGCAGACTCACTGACGTCTTTTGCGATGCATCCTATCGGCGCTCCTCAGCCAATAGATTGCGGTATTAGCTTACCCGGAGGGGAAAGAACCATTCATGAGCCCAGAAGAATGAACGTATTAGACCACGCCCTGCTTTTCTTTGGTTGTTAGTGACTAAACGGAGCGCAAGCTCGTCTGCTTCTTTTGCAGGGGCTGTGATGACGTCAGAACACCGAGCTCTGATTGTCTCTGATTGAATGATAAAAGTATACATCAAAGGAGCTATATATTAGACGCACATACTTTTTTTAGAGTGTACACTCTAAAAAAAGTTTTTGCGTCTACTTTCACGTACAACCCTCGAAGAGCCAATCAGCGCAACTTACGGAGGCAGCTCAGCGAATGACAATGCCGAAACATACGTTTAGACCAAAAAACGCAGTCTGGGTTGTGACATTACGTAGTGCCAAACGTCACGCTTTCATTGCTTAATGTCACAACTCAGTCTGCGTCTTTTTTGGTCTAAACAGATGTTTTGGCATCGTTATTCGCAGAGCTGCCTCCGTAAGTTGCGCTGATTGGATCTCCGAGTGTTGTGCGTGAAAGTCGACGCATATACTTTTTTTAGAGTGTATAGCCGAGGTGTTTCAAACACACGGCCCGCGGTCCGCTACTGTCTGGGACGCAGTCCCGAGGGGTCCCCGAGGCTGCGAGCTCCCGTTCCGATGTCTCCAGCGCAACATGCGTCGTAAATAATGACCTTATACCGTTTATTACTTTCCACTCGAAACGTAGCTGTACTCCAATAAGCTATTTACATGTTATAGAACATTTTCTATTTAAAGGAGGATCCTTTTGTCCTATATGTCATCAAAAGACAAGTCCTTTTTTTCTATATTGTTGCTATAAAAATTGTCATTAAAGCAAAAAACGGTTGCATGAAAAGTTTTTTGTAGTTGTTTTTCAGGCATGTTTAGTTTAGTTTATTCGCGACTGAATTGAACGACATCGCAACGACACTGTGTTTTTGTTATATTGAAATCGTTTAGGGCACATTGGTCAGTGGGTGGCATTGGTTACCATATCAGGTATGTGCCGAAAGTAGTCATGTGGGCAAATCAAAGCTAACGATGTCACTGGCAAAACGAAGAATTTAAGAAAGCCAAGAGGATTGATCTCTTCGCTTCAGAAGTCCTTGGGGTGTCACTGAGAGACTCAGCTGCTTTGAACCGTCGATTCCTCTTTGTTTTCTTCCTTTGTCCTATAACGTATTCACGTTTTCCCTTAGCCATACGTTGTCCCTCGCATAAGTGATCCCCTGCGGGAGCGAAAAATGACAACCCCCGTGTGTAGCGAACAATTTGAGTCCGGTACCTTGTAAAATTTCAAGCGGCAGTTTTCCTGCTAAAAATTAAAGCAAAAACTTCATAAAGTCCACGTTAGGCGCGCGACCGAGTTACCGACCCTATGTGGAGCGCAAGTTCGTCTGCTTCTTTTGCAGCAGTTGTAGTGACGTTCGAACCCTCAGCTCCTATTGGCTCTGATTGAGGTATAGGGGGTAGACCTCAATGCGATTTGTCTTGAGGTCTACCCACTATTATTTCAATCAGAGCCAATCAGAGCTCTGCGTACTGATGGAACCAGAACCCCTAAAGGAGAAGCAGACGAACCTGAGTTCCGAATTAACTTGTGGCGCAATGTCCCGATAGGCGTATCGAGCACAAAACAAAGTACGTCGTCTGCTCGTTGCGTCTATCGGGAGACGGCGCCGTAAGTTAATAGCGTCGGTAACTCTGTCGTCTGCGAACGCGCCTAACGTCGACTTTAGCAAGAGCGTTTTGTTTCAATTTTTACAGGAAGATAGCTACCCCTTCAGTATTCACACACTAAAGGCTGACCTGCTTGGTGCACATTCGGGGAAATTATGAGCTTCCTACGTCCATCCGCCGAATTTTCCAGCTTGTTTTAGAGTGGACCGTTTGCTTGGGACACCATATTATTTCTCTCATCTCAAAAACTAAACAACTCAACCGCAAAAGAAAAAAAGAATTGTAAGTTTACTATGGTAGGAGGCCTTCGGTGTTTTGAAAAGGTCACCTAATATGAATGGATGCTGTCTGGCGACACTATACTCCGTTCACTCTTAAGTCATGCACCCTTTCTAATAGGAGTATAAACATGCAGGCACGTGCAACCAAAGCTCTGCTGAAGCCAGCGAGCTCGCGCTAAAAGCAGAGCTTCTAGTCTCAGCTAGTGCCACTAAATAAGCTACGCTTCAGAGTAAGGACACTTGGCCATATTGTGGCTTAAAATCATGGCTGGTGGTTATCTGAAGCTTTATCTGAAATAACAAGAAACGCCTTTCCGGTTTTCACAAATGTTTAAATAGTTCACGACAAAGCTAAGCAATATTACATGAGCTTCCTAACACCGAATCTAATGATGAGGAAGTCGCAGTTTTGAATTATGACGATCGGCAGTTGCGTCTGCTCTGCACAAGCAACAAAATGGCGGCGCCCAAAACAATGTCGGAGAACGAAGTGCCAATACTCTAAGCGCAGCTCTTTTAGTGGCTGTAGTCTCAGCTTAAGGGAGAACGTAGCATAACCTATCCTTCTGAGTACCAACCTCTCCTTTCATAATGTATTATGCATCACCAGCCCCAGATGGTAACTCCCTCCAAAACTCAAAGGTAGAAAGGGAGTTACTAGCCAAAGGATCAGGTCAGTAGAAGTTAAGGGGCTAATACGCTGTGTGGGAACCCATTGATTAAGTGTATAGTGAGTACGAGATGAACGGCTCACGGGCAGCGCTTGTGCCCAATTCGTGTTAATATCTCCCATGCACAAGTTACGAGTTATCCGCCCCAGTTGTCACCTTTAACTTTTTCGTTCACCAATCACGAGAAATCTGCCATCATTATGTCAGAAATGCCTCATACACAGACGATGCGATAGATATGATAGTGGCCGAACCGAAATACCGATCTCATAAGCCAGCTTGGCCACGCCACCACCGCCGCAATGGGTCGAGGAGACTTTAGCTTTTTTACGCGTGCACGACAACCTCAAGTTCTGCGTCGTGCACTACACGCGACGGCACGAGCTTTTTTCGCACAGTGTCGCCTTCCTCCGGTGAGCTAAACCTATGGCTGCGTCACGCACGCTCCGCACGCATGGTGAGATCGGTCAATTGCAGAAGGGGTCCATCGTGAAGTACCTAAACTTGAAAAGGCTTTAGCAGAAATATCACTGCGAACCCCCATCCTCCCAGACCTGGTCTCACCCTTTTTTCATTGGCAATGAAAGTCATTGTATTATTCATTGAAGACTTAAAATACGCGGGGCGTGGCACTTCCCGCGGATGTTATTATTGCTGCGCCGCCGTTCAAGTAGCTGCATTAGCCGAAAGGGTGTCCAGATTGCAGAGTATGTTTTAATAAGGGTGTAGTATGCTCGTGGTGCCTTAATTTAGATCAAATAAAGCTAAGCGTGTCCGTTGACACACAATTAATATCCCTCCTTCGGGGCTCAACAATAATATAACGAAGACGCACTCGGTCGGCGGTAAAAATAAAGCGAAGGATGCGTCAGGCGCGTGGAGTCAACAGTACTTCCTGACTTTCTAAGGTATCTTGTTATTTCCGTTCACTGGTCAGACATTCATCACGTCCATCTTGTAGCTTGTTGTAATTCTGGTTAGCGCTTGGTAAGCTTTATTCCATTGTTGTATACATCTCTCTGCAGAAAATAATCTCCTGGGAAGCACCGCGGAATTTCTTCTGACCGGAACGGGCCCCCCTTCGAGTCAGATTTTCTGGTTTCTTCACATTTGTGCCCAGAATCCCAACTCGGTACAGAACAAAATCCAGAAGGAAATTGATGATATCGTCGGACCTCACAGGCAGCCTACATGGAAGGACCGTAAGAGCATGCCCTTCACCATGGCCAGCTTGAAAGAGGGACTGCGATGGAAGACAATAGGAATCATCAGTGGCTCCAGGGGGTAGGTACTCCCCTTTCCTGCCACGTTTTCTTGTTAGTACGACAGTGAACCTCACAAAACTACTTCCAGTCCCTGCCGTGCTTCAGCAAATTAATTGCGGTGGGAGTCGAGACGCTGCCCACTCCTGCAATGTGCATTTCGCTAGCGTACTTGTACAAAGCCTTGGAGCCTGCTCACGACGTAAGGCAGGATGTAGCCACTCACACACCTCGGTCATCGTCGTCAATACCCCCCCCCCCCCCCCCCACCCTGTTGGCAGCAGTCCCGAACTTCCCGAAAACGAGAAAAGAAATGGACGACAGCGTGGAGACGAGGAGGAAAGCGTGGTTTATGAAAACGTACGCGAGCGCCGAAACGTTCGCGTTTTCTACTTTTTTTTACGTGCACGTGTTTTTTTCTTTGTGTGTGTGTGTGTGTGTGCACACAGCAGGAGCCTGTTCTCTCTGGAGAGCTCTTTACACTGTCGCGTTTAAACTTAGCAGAACGTTAGGCCCCTTAAGTTTAAACGTGGTGGACTTACGTACCCCTGAATTTGGCGGAAGGTGTTCATATGACACTGTAACGTCACGTGACGCCTTGATAGCTCGTCACACTGACATCCCGTGGCGCCATGTCGAGATAAATGACTATACTCCCGCTACATTTTGCTTAGAAATTCTTTAGGTTTAGCGGAAGTATTAAACACTGCATTTAGAGGGCCACTGTGACGTCACGTGGCACGGCATCACGTTACACGATGACGTACCTGTTACAATCCGTTATGGTTCCGTTTTGACTTTGGTTTTGGAGCGCTATCATTATCTTGATCAAACATGGCAGTTCAGTAAACATGCCACCTCGTGGGTCTCCTATAAAAAGACACACATAACATGGTGTCAGAAGCGGCAAGAAGTGCGAAACGGCTCTAAAACAATTAAGAACCACTGAGCAACGAACAAACTTCATGAGACCGTAAGTGCGCCGCGAGCGAACGACCGCGACGACGTGACGGCGCTGCCCGACCAAGAGAATGGCGAGCAACATGGCGATCCAGCCACCAGAGAAAATGTGCCTCACCGGAGACCTTCGTGCCAACTGGAAGTCCTTCAAGCAACGCTTCGAACTGGACGTGACCGTAACAGGTCAAAATAACGAGTCAGACGAACAAAAGATTGCACTGCTGCTTACTCTAGCGGGATCAGGCGTCATCGACGTGTAAAACACGTTGGACTTCAGCGAGCCGACAGCGACCGTTCCAGAACTGAAAAAAGTGCTAAGCCTCGTGGAGGAGAAGTTCGACAAGTACTTCGCGCCCAGAAGAAACGAAGTGTACGCTCGATACCTAATACGATGCAGGAAGCATGAGCCGCGTGAAGCCTTCGACGCGTTCCTCAGATATCTCAAAGTGAAGGCGAAATACTGCAACTACGAAGGGCAGCGAGACAAGATGATCCGCGACCAAGTCATTTTTTGGGTCAACAATGAAGAGGTCCGCATGAAACTGTTTGAACTGGAGGACCCAACGCTAGAGACTGTAGCAAAGGAATGCCTCGTGCACAAAGCGTCGGCGAATCAGCTCGACGCATTCAGGCATGATCCCACCGTGACCAAGGGCGACACAGGCCCTTGCACGCCATGAAGACAAACAAACCCAAGCAGCACGCTGTGAAGCCATTACCCACCAAACCGTGCAGGTACTGTGGAAAGATTCACGTTTTCAAGAAAGCTGCATGTCTTGCATGGGGTAAAGAATGTAGCAAGTGCAGAAAGAAAAATCACTTTGCTAAGCAATGCAAGTCGAAAGACAGCGTCCGAGCGATACAAGAGAGCGACTCAAGCTCTGAGAAAGTCCTCTCTCTGCACAAGTAGAAGGACGGCATCTTTGTTGCGCTTGAGATGAGAGACAAGGGTGAGATCAGATTCCAGGTCGACAGTGGAGCCTCTGTGAATCTGATTCCAGAAAGGTTTGTACGAAACAAGAAGCTTGAAGAAGCATACTCGTACCTTAAGATGTACAACGGAACAACCATCGTTCCAAAGGGCAAGTGCAGACTCCATTTCAGAAATCCAACGACGCAGAAGAAGTGCTCGGTTGCGTTTGTCCTTGTGGACAAGCACTTTGCACCACTGCTGGGAAGAGAAACCTCTGAAAAAATGCCACTGATCAGTATCAACTACGACCTTGCCTCAACTGTCCAGAACAAGACGATGTCACAGCATGAACTACTGATGAGCATGTACCCAGTTGTCTTGGGAAACGAACAAAGTTGCTTCCCTGGTCAAGTACCCCTGAAAGTTTAACCGTCGGTTGAACCTCCGTCGACTGCCTGCAGAGCACCCGTGAGCATCAAACCGAATCTACAGAAACTGCTTAGGGAACTAACGGCAAAGAAAATCATCGCCAAGGTTGATGAACCTAAGCAGTGGGTCAGTCGCATGGTTGTTGCCACCAAGAAAGACGGTGAGCTACGGATCTGCATCGATCCACAAGCACTCAACCAAGCTCTCAAGAGGGAACGATACCCGTTGCCATTCCTGGAGGATGTGTTGACAGAACTGACAGAAGCAAGAGTATTCTCCCAGCTTGACCTGCTCAACCGATACTGGCACTGCATGCTTGACTCAGAGTCTAGCCTGCTCACGACCTTTAAGACGCCATTCGGACGGCACGAGTGGCTTCGACTACCCTTTTTGTTTAACAGCTAGCGGCGAAACCTTTCAAAAGCGGCTGCAGAGCGCGTTGGACGACCTAGAAGGTGTGACCTGCGTGGCAGACGACATCATAGTGTACGGAAAGGGTCCCAACGAAGACGTTGCACAGAAGAAACACAAGAACCTTCACAGTCTTATGCTGAGATGTCATGAACAAGGCATTCGCATTAACAAGTCCAAGCTTACTGAACGCTGAAGAGATTACTTTCATGAGTCACAAGCTAAAATCACGTGGATTGGAGATCGACCACGACAAGGTAAAAGCCATTCTCAACTTGGATGCACCTTCAGTCGTGAGTAGAGTGCTGCGGATTCGTGGAATGGTGAACAATCTGGCAAGATTTGTGTCGGGTATGTCCGACATTATGGAGCCACTCAGGAGACTGACAACTAAGAATGCAGAGTGGGCGTGGACCTATCAGCAGGACCGAACATTCAAGAAATTGAAAGAACTGCTGTCCTCTCCACCGGTCCTCGAGCTCTATGATTCCCACAAGGAACTCTCAATACAATGTGACACCAGCGACAAAGGCTTGGGAGTTGTTCTGCTACACGAGGGCTCTTCAATCTGCTATGCAAGCCGTGCTCTGACAGCACCTTAGACCAGGTATGCCCAGATAGAGAAAGAGATGTTTGCTCTAAACAAGTTCGACCAGTGTTCCTTTGGCAGACATACGACTGTGATCTTCGACCACAAGCCACCCCAGAGAATCACAAAGAAAGCCCTTGACAAGGTACCTAAGCGGCTGCAAAGCATGTTGCTGTAGTACAGAGATATGACTTCACAGTCAAGTACTGCCAAGGAAAAGAATTTGTTGTAGCAGATACGATTCCAGGAGCCTACTTAAAAGACACAGGTCGTGACTTACCTGCAGAGGAAGTCAATTTTGTCTGTTGTTGGCGCATAAAGCCTAAACCCTCGAAACAATCAATGAACAGTTCCAAAGTGACCAACTGCTGCAAAACCTGACATGATTAATCCTGAAAGGATGGCGAAGAGAGTAGTCGAGTCTCCCGGAAGGAACCTCTGCATACTTCAATTTTCGTGACGAACTTGCAGTTGAGGTTGGTGTGATCTACAAGGGACAGAGAGCAGCCATACCTCTGAGTATGCGTGCTGACATAAAGCAAACCCTTTATGCGTCGCACCTGAGGATAGAGAGCTGACTTCGAAGGGCAAGGGAGTGTGTCTTCTGGCCCGGAATGAATGCTGAAATTAAAGATTTCTTCTTGTCCTGTCAGGTGTGCCAGAGGCACAGCCACGCGCAATTGAAGGAACCTTTATTGCCTCACCGCAGCCAGCGCGTTCATGGGGAGAGTCGGCATCAAAATTATGGAATAGTAGAATTGGAACTTCCTCGTCACTGTCGATTACTTCAGCAACTTCTGGGGGCTGGATGAACTGACTTCAACCACAGCTTCTGCAATCATCAGGAAACTTAAAGCACACTTTGGCAGGTATGGCATACCTGCAGTGCTCATCAGCGACAACGGTCCTCAGTTCGCCAATGCTGTATTTGCCAAGTTTGCTACTCAGTGACAGCTCATACACAACACCTCAAGTCCAGCTAGGTCATGCCCAATGCAACGGAATGGTTGAATCGGCTGTCAAGACTGAAAATTCGCTTCTCAAGAAGGCCTTAGAGGGTGGTCACGATCTACAGTTTTTTCCGGATCACCGCAACACCCCTTGTCACAGCAGAAAGGCAAGCCCAGCACAACTAATGATGGGCAGGAGGGCTCGAACCACTCTACCGACAACAAATGCACTCTTGAAGCCACGCACTCTAAACTGACAAACAGAGTGAAAGAACAAAACAAGACGGATGCAAAACTACCACAACAAGACTGCGAGAGAACTCCCAACTCTGAAAAAGGTGGACACCGTCAGAGTTCAACCGTTCACCCCTGGATCACGATGGGAAAAAGGTACAGTCATGGAACCTGTGACAACCAGATCATACATCGTAAACATCCATGGCAAAATACTGAGAAGGAGCATGGTACATCTACGACAAGTTCCTGCAACTGCCCAAACGGCAGCAAGCCCAGTGAAGAATCCAACAGTTATGCAAGAGGTAACTACTGGCACAGACACTGCTAATACAGCGTCAGAGCAAGCACCAGTGACACTGCATGAATCAGCAAGCAATCAATCACCAAAGACAACGGATGGTCGGAAGGACGGTTCACAAGAACCATCGGTACAGCGCAGACACCGACCTGTTAGGAAGTAGCTGTTACTGCGACACCTCAGTGACTTTGCAGTGTCATAGTTAAGACTGTCTTCTTTCCCTCAAAGAAAAAAGGATATTACAATATCTTATGGTTTCGTTTTCACTTTGGTTTCGGAGCGCTATCATAATCTTGATCAGACAATAAAAACATGGCTGTTAAATAAACATGCTGCCTCGTGGGTCTCCTATAAAAAGACACACAAAACAGTTCCAATGTCTTGACGCTGCGGCTTTGAAACAAAGCGGTTCACATACTTTCATAGCAAGCGACATTATTAGCAGATTTTTGTTTGATATATGCTATGTGCTAGCATGCGTGGTTGGCAGTGTCTTGACCTAATGTGAACCCCAAAGTTACGCTTCATATTCTAAATTTTACGCGACCAAAGCTCACAACGAAGACTTGTCGTTGTTCAAAGATATTACAAAAGTTGATAAGGAAGTAAACGGCCTAAATGCCATATCAGGGAATGTTTGAAGGCGTCAAGGTTTGACCCTGTTGCCGTAAGTGCTAAAAGAACCTAGCTTCTATATGTGAATTATGACGATAGTCGGTCATTCTAAGTGGCTGCGACTTCATTGATCTTGAAGTGGGCATATGCCGTAGCAATGCTTTCAAAAGTGGAGCGCAGCCTGCGATATTTAAAATAAGGATATTATTAGTGGGCCTGTAAAACGAGCAAAGAGTGCAGGACACCAAAGACGTTCCGACACGCGGGCCTTGCAACACTATTGGATTTCAGTGGGTCTCACTTTACGCAATCATACGGCACTCGTCTGCCCAAGTATACTCGCGCGCAACGATAGTAACCCAGAAGATTATTTTTGTTGGGATGTAAAAAGAAAAACGAACACGAACTGTTTTCTTAAGTCTCCTTCATTCAGATTGATGACGTAGTGGTGAAGATTCCAGTGTTGACGTATGCAGAGAGAAACTGAAAGAGAAAGATGAGAGCATGCGGTGGACGTCAGAGTGCCGAGCTCTGATTCGAAGGATTAGTGTGTAGACGCAAGACCTAGCAGCTCTTGTTTGCATACCTACTGTCTCCCTCCAGTCAGAACAAGCAAGAGTGATCGTCTGCTCCTCGTATACACCAACTCATGTTTAAAAATAAATCGGAGCGCCCCTAGCGTACGCCACCGGCGCCGCGCATGCGCGGTGGACGGTGGGCAAGAAGCCTGCCGTCGCCCATAAACAAACCAATGCATTGCGTTGTTTTCGGCGTCGGTGGGAGTCCCCGTGCTCTTTTTCGCGTTGGAATTGATTTTACGTCCTCCTAACAATGGCTGACTACTTGAGCGGCTTCAGCAAAATTAACGAGGCACATTTTTGCGTGAATAATGTGACTTGCGGTGATTCATTCCACGTGGACGCCGCAGAATGGCCGCTAAAGCCTGACTCCCACGATGAGATGCTGCTCGCTATATTCAGTCGCGACGTCGCTCGGGCTGCAAAAGCGTGGACCCTAGCTGAGATGGTGGACGTCGATACTGAAAACCGCAAGTAGAATCGGGCATTATAAATCGGTGATGGCCACTGGTAACAATGATCAACATCTTCTTGTATCTACTGTTTACACTTAGCCTACGTACCCCAACCAACCTTCAAAAGTGTTTTGAGGCCTGCACTTAGTTCTTATTGCAATTACCGGGTCAACGTTTGGTTTACAGACCGCTGTCGTTTGAACGCGCTGACGACAAAAAGCAGACAAGTTCGAAACAGCAGACGACAGTTCGAACGCATGCGAAATGGAATGCGGGCAAGAAGCACCGCGTCCCGCGTCCACAAACCATTAGAATGTCACGTTGTCGGCGTCTGTGTGAGTCTGCATACTCTTTTTGGCGTTGGAATTGTCGATTATACGTCCTCATAGCAATGTCTTACCACTTTAATCGCCTGAGCGAAACTATCAAGGCTCGTTACACCGCTAAACTTTCCATAAATAATTTGACGTGCGGTGATTCATTCACGTGAACGCCACAGAATGGACGCCAAAAACCACGATGAGATTCTTCTAAATATTTTCGGTCCCGACGTCGCTCATGCTGCAAAAGTGTAGAAGTTTTTTCGCTCCTGACGTCGATATTGAAATTCGGAAGCGGAAACAGACCAAGCCTAACAAGTCGTTGATGGCCACTGGTACCAATGATCAACATCTTGTATGTACTGCTTACACCGAGCCTACTTAAGTCGTTTAATCCTGCAATTACTTCTTATTGCAATCACCGGGTCAAAGTTTGGTCTACGGGCCACTTTTGTTTGAGCGAGCAGACGACAAAAAGCAGACAAAATCGAATGAGCAGACGAAAGTTCGGACGATCAGGTGGCCGTGTGAATTTGAAGACGCTCCGAACCCGCGGGTGGCCCGGACAACTTGGCGGTTTTCTCTCGTTCATGCTGGAACAAAACAAATACATCTGGCGACCACAAAATGTTGCCCGCACAAGCAATCGTAGTTCGACATCGTCTGGTTTACTCTTTTCACGGCTACTATCCACGTACTGGGACGAACGGAGCGGGCAGTAACACATGAAAACGGATCTTCAAACCTTTCCATACTCTATTGGTACAGCCCCCGTCGCAGCATTTTGACGAAAATGCAGGTTTTTTTTTCTGGTTTCTCCGAAAAGAAGACAAGAATGCTTGTCTCGCACGGCGACTTCTGCCCACCGCCTCAGACCGGAAGTGCGTCCGACGCGCCACCACCGCGGCGTGACGTAGGAGAGTTGAGTTCGTGTATAGAACCTGGCGTTCGAACGTCGAACGGCAGCGTCTAGGGTTCTACATCAAGGCCGTTCGCAATGAGCAAACGAAGTTCTTGTTTGCTCTGATTCGAGGGAGACAGTAGTTATGGAGACAACGGCAGCTAGCATTCTCGTGTACCCACTAATCCTTCCAATCAAAAGCTCTACACTCTGACGTCAGGGCGAGCTCTCCTATTATTCTCTCACTCAGTATACTTCCATACAGAACTGTTTTTTTTTTATTCACTTACTATTACTCATGCGGTTTACGTGTAGAGCAGGGGTGGCCAAGCTGCGGCTCGCGAACCGCATGCGGCTCTTCGCGAGTTAAAGTGCGGCTCGCAGCTCCCTTCCCTTCCCCTCCCCCGTCTCCCTCCTGGTCACACAAGCACTCCCCCCAAAAGAGAAATGGAACGAAGAACAGGTTGCGGTTTGGTGGTCTTGTGCTACTGCTACCTTACATACAGTTGGACGGCTTTTGACTCGGATACATTGAAAATAGTTCAGGTTTCATTTATTGCTCTCGACAAAAGTCCCCCCCCCCCCCAACCCCGCTTTCCACCACAGCTCTTGGAAGCTTCGTGGTTTTGTTTGCAGCTCTTAGGCCGGGTCAGTCTGGCCAACCCTGGTATAGAGTATGGAAGATGAAACAATGAAAACATTTTAATCTCGAAGAAGTTCACGATTTTCCAATGGTGTAATGAAAGCAAACTATGATCTCACCAATACAAGATGTTCCGCCCTTCGAAATGACGACTGTACCGTAAAGATAAAATAAAATGTAAACCAGACTTGCACGCGGCGTAGTCACTTTTCAAATATAGTTATGAGTGGCGCCTGTATGTCTGGTTTCTCCCTCGTGTCCGTTGTTTATTGCGCCTTACACCATGATTTCAAACGTTCACTAACTAGCCCAACTACAAGTTCTTCGACTTAGTTACCACATGCTGTAAACTGTGCCTTATTGTTCTTAACGAGGTCAACAAATTTTGTGTTTTTAAATGTGTGCTGCAAAAACTATGCACCCTGCAGCAAAGCTATGCCAATGACAGCTGATTTTATGGGATTGCATAGAAAATACATGTGCCTTCGTCATGTGACCACGTCGCCTTACGTCAGGTAATATGGTGTCACAATGTCACGGAACATACTGCCACGTGACATTACATACGTCACTTCAGAACGTGCCGTTAGTGACTTCACGGTGTAACGTGACATTGCGTTATGTCACAGCGTCTCTTGTCTTTTACTTCAAGTGACACTACCACTCGTGTCACTTGAGAACATCGAGTGAAGTCGGGTAATGTGATGTCGTCACAGTGTCACATGACACTGTGCCACGTGACGTCCCGTTAATAATCAAATTGTGCCAACAACACACATCTCATGAACGCACCGCTTCTCCTACAATGCGATTGTGCATGTGACAGTTTAATAGGCAGCTGCCATTATTTAAATAAACAGTTTCAGATAACTACTAATATTCTCTAAAATTTAGATTTTGGGGCGGCATCGCTTTGAATTCGTTTCTTGTTTTTTTTTTTTTTTTTTTTTTGGGGGGGTTATTGAACATGTTTTGTTTTTTCTATCTTGCAGAATACTAAAAGACACCTTTATCGGCGAATACTTCATTCCTAAGGGCACCATTGTTTTCTTAAATTTGAGGGCGGTGCACAAAAATCCGGCTTACTGGAACAATCCCGACGAATTTGACCCAACAAGATTCATGACGAGTGACGGCAAATTGCTCGAAAAGAACGAGGACTGCTTCGTACCATTCGGAGTCGGTAAGTAGAATCCAGAGATATAATTTCCTAGAATCTGTTATGAGCAAACAAAGTCAAGCTATTGATAATAAAAATGTTTTCAAAACAGTTTACTCAATAATGTAATTTTGACAAATTACAAAATTAATTTGACGAAGTTGTTAAAGCCGTGTAGTCCGCCTAATTTTTGAAAATATATTTTAAGATTTCCTCTTATTAATATGCCGTCACTTCAAAAACAAAAACAAAAACAAAAAAAGAACTATTCAGATGTTAGACATTCGTCGTGCAATGACAAACCAGTCTCCCTACCTTGATATTCCACCATTTCGTATGACATATTCATTCATGGAAATCAAAAGTGACTATATGGGTCATTGTTAACAGCTAGACATTTACAGTTCTACAGAGCTAGTAATTTCTTCATTCACAAACAAATCAAAATAAAAAACAGCCACCTATGGGCGATCGTCTTTAAATTTTTAATGAATAAATTATTCTCCCCTTAATAAAACCAAAAACATGCTTCACATAATTTGTTTGTTTTTAGGCGAGGATTCCATTTAGAAGATGGCGTCTTTCAAATGCGCTAGTTCTGTCAAAAAGCAGTTGCCGAAAAATAACGTTTTACTTAGTTTTACCAGGTCATTTGTTCGAGATGCTATTTATGTTCGATCCTAATGAAACTTTCTGTAGATTGTGCGTTCTAAACTTTATTTCTCGATAATACAAACTATTTTTAATAAATGCACGTTGTACGTACTACTTTACTTTGTAAAACTATGTCCAACCTTTAGTTTCTTACAAGGTCGAATACAAAAATAAATAGAACCCGTGTGCGTAAGTGCCTCCTATAACTGTCATGCGTCGTATGGTATATCGTTCTCTAATAAAAACGAATTGATAAAAAAAATCATGTTAAGCTAGACATTACAATCTTGATACATTTTAAAGATTAATATCCCTTATAAAAATACATTCAGCTTAAGTATAAAAAAATCCGGGGACTGGCTGCGTACTGAACACTCCTTAATGATTGAAATTTTGATGTTCGAGCGCCATCAGCGATGATACGAAAAGTGGACGATTAATGACGACTCTCAGATGATTCACGTCATGAATGTTATTGGTGCTGTATTATACTCTCAGAGGACGATGGATTTTAGTTTCCAGTCGCCATTTTGTTGCTCATTCTTTATTACAACGCCGCCCAAAATTGTCTGTTGAAGTGAAAACGCGAAAGAAAATGAACAGGTCTTTAACAAAAGGCTTGACAATGGAGCACGTAGGAACCAGTATGCAGTTTGTTTTAGCACTAAGTATAGTGATTTTATTACCTTGGGGTTGTTTACGTTTATTGAAATGCTGTTATACCTCCGGTCATACTTCATTTATTTTTTCTAGGCAGAAGAAATTGTCCAGGCCAGGTTCTAGGCAACGCCCAGCTGTTCTTGTACACCACAACACTGCTGCAGAAGTTCAACGTTTTTCCCGAATACCAGGACCAGCTAGACATCATAGGTTCCGTAGACCTAGCAGAGATTGATCCCCGTGTTCAAAGATTGCGCTTTGTCCCGCGATAACATCCTCGCCAAGAAGGAAATTATGCTGCTGCCGTATACGTGTGGGCGAAAAATAATCAAGTCTTACGATATCTCACTATAGTAAACAATTGTGCACTCTCAGAAAAAAAAAAAAAAAAAAAACAGGTATAGGCTTACACCCCTTGTCCCATATAAGACACCCCAAAGCTTCATTTCGACGTACAGTGTGCTGACGTCGAACTGACGGCCTCAACTTTTACGAGGTGATCGAGAACGGCGAGATAAACCTCATTAAACAGCTGAAGCACGTATCAAAGACTGCAGAAGAGAAACACTGAGGTTTTGCAGTAATACCAAGAAAACCCTAATTACTTGTTTTCTTGTCAACAACACGCACATTAGCTATTTCAATAGGTTGTACCACTCGGTTATCAAGCCACATGTGAAAGTTAGGAACGACGGTTCGCGACTTCAGCGCGCTGTACGTCCAACTCAAGTTTTGGAGAGTCGTATATGGGACAAGGGGTGTGAGACTATACCCTTTTTTTTTTTTCTGAGAGTGTGGACACGCAAGGTATAGACCTTTTCTGCAAGGGCGCCGCCATCTTGAATTAACGTCACTTCCAGTATGGGCGAAAACATTGTTTTGCCTTTGCCACGCAAATAGAAGGCATTTAGGAGATAAGCGTAACCGTCACCCATTCTTGTTTTGCCTCCCCTCTATTTTTTTACTATTTTCAGGTTGAAACGTTTAAGTATTTTTTCGTCGCCCATACCGGATACGCCTATTAGGTGGCTTGGGACGAGAGTACACAGAAAAGGTCTATATACGTTTTCGTTTGCTGTGTATGGGCGGCGCCATAACTGGCCTTCGTTTTTGTTTTCTTTATTTCTGTTCGCTTTGCTTCTTCACTGGGGTTACACAAGTATTTGTTTACCTTCCAGACATCGCAGTGCCCTTGACCTCAAAGCGTGCTTTTGTATTGATTTTGTCCGTGCTCATCTTGGTGGTCGGTCATCTCGGCGAGGCGGCAGAAGGTCAAGTGTGGCGGCGCAAATCTGGTACAGGTGAAAATGATCTGTGGCTTATTCTTGTATTCAAGAGAACAAAATTAGGTTCTGGTGGTTGGGGCAAATTAGCACCAGGCGTTGATTTTGGCCCCGCCTTTATGTTCGCTATATACGCCGCATTATTTGTAAGGAGACGTCACATCTCTTCACAACCTTCATTCATTTTCTCTCTTTCTCTTTCTCTACGGAACGTTGTCAAAATGTCTTCACATTTCTAGTATCTTTGAGACTAATAAATACTTGGTGTGTGATCAAAGTGCATTCAAATAAACTCAATAGCTGCACAAAACAGTCAATCACCCACATGTTTGCTAGGTGAAGCATAGTGATTTAGGTCCGCCTCCCCCATTGATCCTCCCCTAAACACACACACACACACACACACACACACACACACACACACACACACACACACACACACACACACACACACACACACACACACACCTTTCTTTTTAACGCTTCGTTTCAGAAAGTGTAACAAATTTTCTTTGTATTACAGCAAAAACTAATCTTGCTTGGAATTTTTTTTTTCTTACACAAGGATTGAATCTTTTTGTCTAAAAGCCAATGTCAACAAAATCCCTGCACAAGGCAAGTATAGTCGCTCTACAGCAACTTGGCATGGTATCACCTGGTATCAGGGGACCGCCGCCGTAGCCTCATGCTAACCTTTAGCTTTTTTTTTTTTTTCTTTTTTTTTGTACGCTTTCTGCTGATCCCGCTAGCACCGGAGCTTCCTTTTCGTGTTTCTATACAAAATTTCACTCTAAACTCACTTCATGTATTTCATTTACTGACACTGTCAGTCCCGTAGTGAAATTACATTGGTGGAAATTACAACGTAAAATACGAAAAATTAACAGAAATAGTAAACAGATTACATTGTTACAAACGGCATCTTTAAACTCGGCACTTTCAACTATGTCGAAGATGTGAGTGGGAAAGCGATTTCAATCCAAAGATGTCATTGGTATCAAAGACTGGTGAAAACTTGATCTGTGACAAGGGGGATAGCTACTTTATTTCGATGATCGATACGCGAAAAAAACGTAAGAGGGTTCAGTTATCAAAAGTTGTAAGTGCGGGTTATAATGATAAACTTTATAAAACAAGATAGTCTGGATACTTTTCTGCGAAGAGAGTGGATAGGCGGGCCCAAAGTGTTTTTCATTTCAGTCACGCTGGATTTGCGATGAAAGTTATGTAAAATCAATTGGACGGAACGCTTTCGAACGGCTTCAAGCAATAATGCAAGTGATTTGGCCGGATCCCAAATGGCAGCAGCGTATTCTAGTTTACTACTGAGTAACGATTTATAAATAAGCAGTTTTAAGGACAGGGAAGTCAAAGAGAAATTTCTTTTACTAAAGCCTAGCATGCGGTTAGCTGTAGTTACATATTCAATGTGAGTGTACAAAGAAAGGTTGTTATTTATGTATATGCCAAGATACTTATATGATGTTACGGGTTCCAGTAAAACATTGCCGATGTAGTTAGACTGACAGGTCTTATTTTGAAGTGAGGCTCTCATGGATTTGCACTTCTCATTATTGAGCTTCATCTTTCATTTATTACACCAGCGCGAAATATTGTTAAGGTCCGTCTGTAGTGATTGAACATCAGAATCATTAGTTATTTGAGAGTAAATGACGCAATCGTCCGCGAAGAGACCAGTGGTTGATGAGACATGTGCTGGGAGGTCATTAATGAAGATTAGGAACAAAATAGGACCTAAAACAGAACCTTGTGGGACACCCTAAGTTACGGGGCAGGAGTGCGAGTTATTGTCGTTGACATGAACAAATTGGGAGCGATAAGATAGAAAGGATTTTATCCAAGCCAATAATTGACTATCAATGTTGAGTGTACTTAGTTTATACAAAAGGAGCCTATGTGAAGCAGTGTCGAATGCTTTAGCAAAGTCCGAGAATATGCAATCAACCTGAGATTAACGATCCAGTGAGGTATGGATATTGTGAGTAAGTGTCCAAAGTTGAGATTCACATGAAAACTGTTTCCTGAAGCCGTGTTGAGCAGGAGTGAAAAATGCATGCGCGTTAAGAAATTTTGCAAGGAATGCTTGTTAACGAGATTGGACGGTAATTACTAGGGTAGGATTTATCGCCACTTTTATCGATATGGATCACCTTCCCCACTCTCCAGTCTTCCGGGGTGGTACCGAGTTCAAGCGATTGCCGAAAAAGTTCAGTCAAAATAATAGAGGAGTAAATTGAAGTATTTCGTTAGAAACTTCGAGTTAATATTATCCACACCACTTGATGACGAAACTTTTAAATTATCAATAATTCTCACAATTCAGGTACATTCAACGTCAATGGGGTCCATGGTATCAATACTCGGCCGGCTTAAATTTGTATAATGAGAGTCATCTACACTAGAAAAGGACTTCGTGAACATTTTGTTTATTAAAGCTGCACATTCGCTTGTTTCTACCATTTCACCGTCAATGTTTCTTAGCTGTAGGGCGATTTTCTTCGAATGGTTTACAGTATTCCCAAATTGCTGAGGATTGCTGCGCAACATGAAGGGCAAGGTATTGTTGAAGAAACGAAGTTTAGCCTCTTTAATAACTGCCTCGTATATAGCAGCGGCTGAAAAATACGCTGCCAAGCGATGTTCAGCAATGGAATCCACAGAAAGTTTTGTGGCCCAGAACAATATTTTCTTTTTGTTTTAGAGTTTTCTGGGAGTTCCATTAAACCAAGGGGACCGGGCACAATTTCGTATAGTTCGTACAGGAATAATGTATTTACTTGAAAGTGAAGAAACCTTTTCTTTAAATAACGCCCAGTTAGTCTCAATAGAACGATCAGAAAACACATCAACACAAGTCTGGAAACAAAAAAAGTCCATCGACTCTCAGCAGCTTGAGAATTTCGTTGAATGTTTTGAAAGCAGTTAGAATGTGTCGTCTTTGTCCGTCTGTTCATTAGTACATAGTTATTTAACGCTAACCACTTGCTTCCGTTCAACAACTATCAAAGTGTTATGCTGTAGCTTTGTGGCAAAATCATGATTAGCTTTGAGGTTAACAGATATTTAAAACATTATCTAGTTCGTGTAAGTACACTATGTGGAATCTTGAAATAGTTTCTCTGGAAAGTTCAGGTTTTATGAAGTTCAATTTCTTATCAAGTTGAATTTTTTTAAACCTGAACTTTTCAGACTGCTTCACACACCGACATGACGCTGGGTTTTTAAGCTTTTAGTCTCATATTTCAAATACAAAATGAATGCATCTTAGTTTTATCTCCTTTCCCCATCTGATACTTTTCTATCGTCGAAATTTGTATCTCTCCCCATCCAAAATATATTGTCGCTTTATGGGGGGGGGGGGGGGGGGGGTATTTTGTTCTTGTTTCTTGCTAGTTGAATGATGTGTTTTGTGCTCCGTCCTTCTTGTTTATTCTTTCGAATGTAAAAAGGGTGCCAAGTTGCTCTCCGCCTGATGGAGAGCGAATGCCCCGCAGGGGCTTTCCCGTCAAAAGGTATCTCAACTAACGGCTACTTGTCGTGATATGGGTCCACTTCCGTCCGCCGTAGCGAAAGGTTACGTGATCACGATCTCCGACGGAGCGGTGATAACGGACATCTCAGGTCTGTCCTTGCAATCGCTGCGAATTACCAGATTATTCTGCCTCAACTGCCTACTGGGTGAGTGACTGTCAATGTGGTCTTCCTGCGTTGTGATGTAAAAGGAAGGCCCTACCGGGTGCAAGATTCTCGTCATTAACTCGAGCGGCTGGTCGGGATGAAAGACCTGGCGAATGCCGGGCCCCGGCAGATGAACCACGTCTGTGTGCTGAGAATGCGTTCACTAGCTGCCAAGCAAAGACTGGTCGATGCTAAGGAACTGACCATCAAGGTGGGTCAAAGGGGAAGGGGGGGGGGGGGGGGATGCGGTGCGTCGTCATCGACCCGGCGAACACGGCCGTGTAGGTCAGACTTCACTGGGTCCCGTACGACGTCCCGAATCGCAAGGTGAAAAGGGAGGTGGAGCCTTACGACAAGGTCTCTGAGCTAACCAGGGACCTCTTTTGGGAAGGAAATTCGAGTCTATCGAATCCAACACCCACAGTGTACGCCTGACCCTCAAGGAATGTTACATTGTCGAAAGCCTCACCCACGAGCTCCACCTGGAAAGGTTTAAGGTGCTCGTTGTTGTGTCAGTACGCGCCCGCTCTGGTGTGGACGGGCCCGCTCTGCTGCGCTGTCAGTCACCGTTATGGTCACGAGGCAGCGGACTGCGTCAAGACGTATGTCACAATGGCCTGTGACCACAGGGCAGACGACCAGACAGACTACATGATGAATGACGCCGGAGCGGAGGAGGCGGTCGGTGCTTCAGCGCCGGTGTACACTGTTAGCAAGTGCCGTGTATTTGGTGAATATTTGGGGTGAAAAACACGCTATTTACACAAATTACCATAAATTTACACGATGAGTAACGGATAATACGTTCAGATATCATGCGAGGTTGTAAAAAACGTGTTTTGGTTCGGTCATACACGCATAACCGTGTTGCCGACCTCGATAACACGCATCGCCTCCGGCGACGACCGCGGCATTGCCGGCTATCGAAGCACCGGAATGCTTGGGGACACACTTAGAAAGGACCGTCGAGACAAATGCCGCGGAAAGAAACATGTCTCGGAAACAGATAAGCACAAAAAGCAATTACGCCATGTCGCGGGACGTTGGCGAAACCTAGCGAAACCCGCGCTTACCGTGGCTCGCCGCCATTTTCTGGTCGATGGCAATGCGGCTTCCCTCATGTCGCCCATGTTTGCATTTAGTTTAGGGCTCTTGATAATAGTTTCTTACACACCACAAATAAAGTCATGGGTCCAATTATTCGTTCAAAACAGTTAAAATGGATATAAAAAGCGTGTCTTCGATGTGAACACGTGACATTGCAGTTGGTTTCGGTTTTGCTTCAACCTTCAACTGCTTCAACTGCAAGCGATCTGGCCGATCTGGCCATGACGCAAGCAACGCAAGCGCAACGTCGATGTACGGAGGAAGGAAGAGCCGGTTGGCTTTCGTTCTTTTTGCTTGACCGGAGAAATTTCTGGCAGCCGCTATAGTTTTGGTTTGACGGGACGCGAGAAGCTTCGCATAGAGCTTCGCAGTTTGCGAGCACATATACCCAGACAACACCAAACGTCCCTCGGACGTCCTAAAAACGTGCGAACGTCCCACGTCCCATTGCTGACGTCCTGCGGACGTCCCACGGATGTCCGGGGCGGCATAATCCGGAACACGTCCCAGCGCGACTGTGATCAGGACACGCATTTTTTTTTTTTTTTTTGACGATTACAGCAGCGGCTTTAGGCACTGTCACCGCACAAGATCGTGGCTCGTATTGCAATCGTCGCTTTTGGTTCAGCCGTTAGAAAAATCAGTTTCAAGTTATTTTGGGTTTTGATCATCCGCGCTTGCCGTACAGTCGGCGTACGCGCCCCTACAAATTGCACTGCCCTTTCTCCGCAATAAATGTGCCGGCGTGCAACCACGGCGAACGGAGGGAGCCAAAAACAGAAAAAGCGACCTATCGTATTTCTTGAGTCTTGTCGCCAACAGAATCACTCGCGTTTCTTCGCAGACACCAAGAGCAAGAGCGATAGTAAAAAGCCTAAAGGCAGCTCTTTTAAATTCTCAGGCACACAAGAATTATGTTAAAAAATGAACCGCTTTAAATACATTCGAAAGCGGAACTATGGCGAAACCGAAACGGTCCTAAAACTCGGTTAGTTTCTATTTTTAATTTCACATTAATAATTTTTATATCATATATTTATATATTTTTACAAATTATTTTTTTAATAAAACATAGATAATTATATTAGTGAAATTAAGTAATTCAGGCAGAGCTTTCAATCGCCACCGCTGTGCAATCATCATCATCATTAATAGCGTGCGCGCGGGAAAGCTGCAGCCCTACAGCCGACTACAGCCCGGAGTGCTGCCGTGCTGCCGTGCTACTGCGGTAACCTGAGAACTGTGAGAACTCACTAGCCACCATGGCTGGAGGAAGTAAGTATGATTTCACGTTTTGTTTGGAGCGACAGTCGGGATTTTTACCAAACCGGTCCCCTGATCCGCCACCGCGGGACCGCGGTATTGAGGCTCGCGCTCCCCCTTTGAAGCAGCGCGCGGCCAGAGGGCTACTGCGCTCGCAATAGCCAACAGTAACGCTTTGCTAATACTCCGTATTAAGTGACATAGGCCGAGTAATGAAAGTGTTACAACATTTCCATCGTTCGCAGAGCTTGGCTGTTGCAAGACAAGGCGAACCACTCGAAGATCGTAGATATGGACAATATGGCTGCTCTACCCAGAACAACAGCTTATCGGCGCGTTCGTCGTGCGGCGGAAAGCGATCTCAAACTTATACTGTCAGTTAGTAGAGAAAATGCAATGTGCTCAGCTGAAGCTTTGGATGAGGCTTCTGTAGAAAGGCCCGCTGGGTCGCCGGAACTAGTTGCAGGAGCGCCGCAAAAACACGCGGGATCGCCGGAACTAATTGCAGAGCCATCACGTCTCTCGTGTCAGCAAGATGTCCTGACAACGTGCTGTTTTTCTGAAACTGTGCCTGATACTCCGGAACCGGTCTTCGGTGCAAGCGCCATTCACTCGAGACAGGGCGTCCCTGTAGATTCGGAAGGATTGCCTTACAGTCGTGAACACCACTTAGAAAGAGACAATCGAAGGAATGTCGAGTTGGATGAATTGTCTGAATCAGAGGAATCCGACGTTTCACGTTTCAAGGAAAAGCTGCGGCGGTGGAGCGTAGAGGGGGCAGTTCCTCATGATACCGTTGCAAAGCTCCTGAAGATACTGCACTCGCATTCTTGTTTCTCAGACCTCCCAACATGTGCCAGGGCACTTTTGTCTACACCAAGAGTCACTGATAATGTGAGGCCCATGGATTCCGGCCATTACTGCCATTTAGGCTTGAGTGAGGGGCTCCGGGCAGCGCTGCAACCTGTGCGCAATATACCGGATCCAATAATCCTTCATGTGAATGTAGATGGACTACCATTGACGAAAAGCACGCGGGATCAGTTCTGGCCCATTCTCTGCCAAGCTGCTAACTGTGCAGGCAGTGACCCATTTCCAGTTGGTGTCTATCATGGCCAGTGTAAGGCTCTTCAGTCAAATGTCTTCCTTAGTCCATTTGTGTCTGACCTGAAAGGTGTTCTCTCTGAAGGTGTTGCTATTGGCAACAGGGTCTTCCGAGTGCAAGTTGGAGCAATAATCTGCGACGCACCTGCCAAGTCATACATTCTTGGCACCAAAGGGCACAGCGGCTACTTCAGTTGCTCAAAGTGCACGACTGAAGGAGAATTTGTGCGGGGACGAATGTGCTTCCCTGATCTTGATGCTCCATTACGAACAAATGCTAGCTTTAGGCGTGCAGAGCAAGAGGACCACCACATCATGGAAACTATCTTAAAAGAACTTCCCATAGATATTGTTGACCAGGTGCCACTTGACTATATGCACCTCATCTGTCTGGGTGTTGTGCGCAAGCTTGTACTCCTTTGGCTGAAAGGTGATAAAACCTACCGCATTGGAAGTGCATCAAGAGATTCTGCGTCGGGAGCTAACATTGAAATGAGGCACTATGTACCATCAGACATGTCTCGGAAGCCACGCAGCTTGTCCGACATTGATAGGTGGAAAGCGTCAGAATTTCGCTTGCTTGTACTTTACACGGGGCCAGCGGTGCTGAGGTCAAGGATCCCCAAGCCTCTGATGGACAACTTCATGACACTTCACTGTGCAGTCACCATACTTTGCAGCCCATTACTTTGTAGAGAGCACTTAGGGTATGCAGAAAGGCTCTTAAGGCATTTTGTTGAGACCTACATAACACTATATGGTAGACATGCAGTCTCTCACAATGTTCATGGCTTGATTCATGTGGCAAGCGATGTAAGAGTTCATGGACCTCTTCACAACTATAGTGCTTTCCCATTCGAAAATTACATGCGTAAACTCAAAAGCTATGTACGCAAACCAGAAAGGCCCTTGCAGCAAGTCTACAATCGAATCGTAGAAGAACGAATTTTGGTTGCATCTCCTGCTGTCAACACTGGAGAGTCGGCAGCGTCGACTCCACAAAGGACTGCAGCTTAAGTGGCATTCGATAGATTTGACTCATTTCTTTCTCACCTTTTTTAAATATTTTTATAGCATTCAGCATTTTGTACAAAATTGCTTCTCAATTTCACGTGCCACTGATGTCCCTCTAGCGGCGGCAACACTGTGGCAGCAACACCACGGTGAGTTTTATTTTGTGAATGCTAAAGTTTTCATATCCTTTGAAATAACATCAAAGTTGAGAACTGTTATGTACTGACTGACAGACTGGCGCTTATCAGCTCGTGGCCACTCGAGGAGCGTGGGCACTGAGCGCTCGAGGCTCGGGGTGCGCGGGCTGACGAACGCCGGGCTCCGAATTGATTAAACCGATTTGACCAGTGGTCTCCTGTGAACCGACTCGATGTAACAAGAACAGCATTTTATAAAATTTCAGATGCACCTGTAACCCCTATGAACATGTCTCACCCTGGCACTGGACGGGTAAACACAGATGCACGAGTGCCTGGTACGTAATATCTATATAGATCTTCAATCAGAAACAAATTTTGCGATAGTGGTTTTTGGGCTTCTACTTCTTATGCTATGTGCATGACAAAGACGATTCGGAAAAGGTATTGTGTCTAGAAACGTTTTTTTCTAATGAGTGTGAGTTGTCGTGAGGGGCATGGCTTTCCTAAAACATACAATATATGTCAGGAAGCAGTATTTATCTTAGTGTTTTTATTTAAAGAGGCACTAAGGTGGTTTCTGAATAAGATTGTTCTTGATGTTATTTTATAGCTGCCAGTTAATAAATATATCCAGTGCCAAATTACAAAACTGCCTATGTATCTCAAGGCAACAGAAATACATGCATACTATACACACTAGAGCAATGAAAACACTTGAATGTGTGGAGATTTTGACTGTTTGTACTAATATAGTTTGTTTTGAAAAGAAGTCCGATCCACACGTTCAGAAATCACGCCACTCGTTTGCTGCACGAAAAGCCATCGCTAGCAATTGGCTGACAAGCGCCCCTTGTTGGCTGCCTCACAATAATATTCATCTCAGAGAAGGGGGCGTGTAACAATCTTTAATCACGTTTTTAGTAGGAAAATGGGCCCCGCCTGATTGTGTAATTTCGGGTTTTCAGAACGCTTGGAGCACTTAGATTGAGTTATTGTCACTAAAAAAACTCTCAGAAACTGCTTTCGTACTCCTTTAACTTTGCTATATCACGGAGAGTTACTATTTCATGTTATGTCAACAGTTCTGCAATGAGGATGCTACTGTGGTTGCAAGATGGAGCTCTGTTCTGTCCATTTCAGTGTTTATGGAAAGGATCCTGTTGGCACTGAATTCCATCAAGGTGACACAGCAGACCCACTCCAAGTACTTTAGCTTACTGCTCAGAAACACCGAAGATGCCCCACTTGATCCAGAGGGCCTGCCGGACTTGCCTTTTTCTACAGAACAGGACTTTGTGCACTTCGACAAAGAGCTGGAGGTCGACAAGAGAGCAAGACTTCGTATGGTAAATGATGGTTATTCTAAACTAAGCTCTGTATTTTGCATCTATGCATGATTGAACTTTTTTTTTTGTTATGAGCAACTGTATTTTTGGAACTCCATCTTGTAAATATTCAGGTGATAAAGGTTTGCTTACCAGGTGCCAGAGTTCAGTTACAAGCATAGCTTATAATAAAAGCTCATTAGGGTCATGAACACAATTTCGTGTTAGTAATCACATTTCATGACTGAATTCCTGAAAAGGTACTTCAGTGTTGTCAATAAAATCTTATTTTTTAAGTTTAGATATACCTAACTTTAATTTGCATCATGTGTATATGTCGGTCACTCTTACAGTACCGAGAAAGCGAGTCAAAATTGGGCGGAAATGATCTCATAGTGCCCATACTTCTAAGCGTGCGGTTTTGTTTCTAAGATTTATGTGCATCCGTAGGGAAGATGTTCCTGCTATGCCATCAAAATTTATATCTCAACATAGCTATTAGAACTACGGCACATTTTGAAAATTTTTCAGTGTTTTAACAATGTGAATGCTTTATGTGCCAGTGGTGATAAAACGCTTGAGAACCACTATGCTTATGAAACCACACTAAGATTGTGATATGCTTAAAATTCTAAATGAGTTAGTAGTTTAATGTTAGCCCATATTTCTGATCTGATTGCTGTTTTGATTCTTTTTTACCAGAGACAACATATGTTAGTTCAAGGAGGTGATACACCTAAAGAACGGACCACCCGAATTTTGAGAAGTATACTATCTTCAAGTGTCGCAGCCGAGTACAGCTGGTGTGGCGCCAAGGGAAAACACAAGTTTTCTGATCTCAACATCTGCAAGCTCCTGTGTAGTAAGTTAGATATCTGAACCTGCACAAGTGCAATTCTTAGTATGTACTGAAGTCTAATATAAAAGAATAGTGCAAAACCTTTTTGGAAAATTAGGTATATAACTTGATATAAGAGTGTAACAAATGAAATAATTAGCATATTTTCCAGTGTGTAAGTCACTGTTTTTTTTCCCAGTGTTACATTGATGTTCTTATACAGCAGAGCAGTTTATAACAGGCACCTGCACTTGTCCCGCCACCAACCACCGAAGAAAAAAAGACATGTTCTTATTTCTTTAAAATGGTACACAGTATAGGTCCTAGATCCACGAGACGTAGCCTTCAGGTAAAGTGGATCGGCTTTTCCACATAATCAATGCCCAGGAATGTGATGGCTACCTGTAGAAGGGTTTTGTATCATTTCATAGATGCACGTTTCACTGACAACTTTTTATTGACACACATTTCATTGACACTGCTTACACAAAGCACATGCCGCTGCGTCATCTAGCTGTTCTGGCTACTTTGAGCACCAGTTTTTATTTAGAAGTAGTGCTTGCAACTAGTTTCTGTTCATGAGAGTAGTACCAGTTACTAGCATCTTGAGCTAGTCACTTACTATTTCGCTAGGTGGATTGCATTGGACTTTTGGCTTTATTTTGCTGATTCCGGCAAGCTAGGCATTCTAACAGACCGCGTTGCGCACTGTCATCCCTTGCTTCACTCCGCTTGGGAGTTTAACATCCCCTCCGGCTCCCGCCTTTGGTAAGCCTGTTCGGAATCGCCAAAGGCTTAGCAGGCTAGGATAGTTATGGGGATGGCGGAAACAGAATGTCGGCAAAGAGGCTCCGCTTTATTACATGCCAGCAACATCCAGGCCACCAAAGAGGTACATGCAAGGCTATGTCGCGAAGAAGAGGCTGTCGAAGGATCTGTCAATGAAATGGCATTCAATGAACTGATTGCTACTGCTGTAGAGTGACGCAGGCACATCAAAACAAATTTGCTTCAAGGGTTGTGTTTCTCATTTGGTTTGTTTGCAAGAATAATGAAATTGGTTTCTGCTTATGCATACTTCGCCTGAAGTTGTTGATATGGCAGTTAGCTTGACTGCATAATGCAGCTCACATTTTTTCTGCCAGTCTAAAATATCTTGCTGAGCTTGACAACAACTTTTTTATATGCAGGCACCCTCACCTACCGTCAAAACTTGGAAGAAGCCAAGGCAACTAAGAAGGACATAGAAAAAGCAGGCATGTCGTGGCTCCGTCATGCTGCTGAGCGGGCAGCGGCAGAAAAAAAGTCCATGGGAAGGAAGGACGGCACACCATTTACACTAGACTAAGAAATCACTTCAACAGGGCAGCCCTTTGAAAGGAACTATGCAAGTCTGTTTCTTAACGTTTTGCACTACAATTTGCAACAGCGGTGCCCGCAGGGAGTGTGGTAATGTATCTGGAGAGCTACATTTTCAAAGAAACAACTTAATTGAGTAAAAGTTTAAAAGTCTGAATGCTTTTCTCTACATATGGTGTTTGTTTGCTTATGGCACACATCTGATTGTCGCAACAGCTGATAAACTGCAGCAGCAGTTCACAAATAAAATACTCGCATAGCATTTTTGGTTTTAAAAGACCGTCTGCTTTGACCGAGGGGGCCGTATGTCGGCTGTTTCACCAGCCAGACTTGTGACGTTAGGCGAATGCTGCAGATAAGGAGAAGACATTCCTATTTTTTAACTTTCTTCTCAGGTAAAGCCATTCATTGAAATTTGGATGGAAAATTTCACCACCTACGGACACCAGTGTCGTAAATTGTAGCACAGTACATTAAGACAACATTTTATACAGTTCCTTTGAAGTGCCCTGTATGTAAGATGTGCACCAATTTTTTTTTTGGCAATTCACTATCGATTCAATATTCTAACAGCCATTCTGGCATTTCAGTTTCGTGATACTTTATACGAGATGTATTTGTCACACTTGTTTACACTACTCTTTTCTATGCAGTTCATGCATTTTTTCCTGTATTAAGCAAGTTCAGAGTCACTGATGTCACTTGCTTTTAGTATAAATTTAGCTATTCAGTGCTCGACTGCTACTGTAGACTTTGTGCATTATTTAATGTAGATGTCTGGTCTTGCTGACCTTGGTCACATGGCAATATTTTTTCTAGATTTTGCCAAAGTAATTCTTTTGCACGACTTGCATACAATCATTATACACTGTTGGCACCTAAGCTGAAAGGGGGTTAGTCATTTTTACTGGCATTACTGTCCTGCAACTTGCATTTTTAGTACTTGGCATGTACTGCTTCTATGCCTTGCCATAACTGTATTTCAGTTTTAGATAATGTGTTATTTTTTTATAATTAACAACTCTAGTGCAATACTGTGATAACATATTCTATGTTTCTGCACTTCAAAAGAAATGTTTGAGTGATATGCAGAAGTAAGCATTCTAGTGAAATACTGTGATAATATGAGGGGGCATCAAAACGTTTCTGAACTGGCATCACTGAACAAAAACAAAACAAGTACAGCAGTGTGACACCAGCTGACACTTCCCGACAAGCTTGCAGTCTGTGCCGAAATTTACTGTGCAGGGCGAGAGTGATCTCTAGCGGTGCTTGTTTGTTCAGAAGGGATTTTGCAACTTTCTCACCGTGAAACACAAATGAAAAACTCGAACCACGTCCATACATCATTTTCTGTGAAAATTGAAAGAACACATTAGAAACTCAGAAACTCTGTCAGCAAGCATTCGGTGACTGATCTAGGTCACACAAATCTGTGAGTGGCATGGACATTTTAAGTGAGGCTGAGAATCGCTTGAAAACAATGAATCAAGAGGATGCCCTCCAACAAACCTAACATTTAAAAATGCAGAAAAAATCCTCGTTAATTCAGTAACACTGTCTGAGAACGATTTCGGACATTGCTGAACAACTCAACATTATTTATGGTTCAGCAATATCCGAAATGCGCTTCCGACGGTCTTCGTGAAATAACACATAGATTTTTTTTCGGCATTCTGAAATGTTATGTTTCTCGGAGGGCATTCTCTTCATCGTCTCCAAGGAATTCTCGGCCTTGCCTAAAATGTCCATGCCACTCACTTATACATGTTTTTACTAAATCATGGTCACCAAATGCTTGGTGAGGAGTGTGGTATTTTGACATGTTCTTCCCAATTCTCACAGGAAATTTGATGTAAACGTGCAGTTTGAGCTTTTTATTTGCCTTATGCGGTCAGAAAGTTGTGAAATACCTTTTAAACAAACAAGCACAGCTCGGAATTCATTTTGTCACCACACAGTGACTGGCAAGCCTTCTAGGAAGGGTCAAGTGTGTCGCACTGTGGTGCTGCATTTTCTTTTTGTTCAGTGGTGGCTGTTCAGATACTTATTGATGCCACCTCATATGTTATTTCTCTGTCTTTGCTTTTTACATTGAAATAATAAAGCTTTATTTGTTTCGAGACTTGTGTGGTCTTATCCCACTGTAGTGTAAATTAGTACACCAGTATGAAAATATACAATGTCCTATATATGTCCTAATAAAGTCCAGGAAACATCCTTTCCTGGACATCCTGAGGACGTCCTTTGGTGTTTCACTTCGGATGTCTTCTGGACATTATTCGGACATCCGCAGGACGTCCCTAATGTCCCAGTCGGGACATCCTTTGGATGTCCAGCGGATGTCTGTGTGTTGTCTGGGTAGTGAAGACGTGACCGGAGAAGTGCCCCTGTGATGTTCCCGGAAGACGGAAAGTACCATTCGTCGTGTGTGCTTTGAAAGCGAGGGGAGTCACAGGGTCCACGAGTGCGCAACTACAAGCCAAGGTTCACGACAGCGCTGCGTTCTTCGGCGATCTCGTTCTGTTTGGGGCAACACGGCGATGCGAGAAAGGGCCGAAACGTTCATGGTGTGTGGTGCGGTGCTTGTAGGTAGAAACCCGCACTAACGCGGAGCTCATATTGGTTGTTGTGGGGTTGCGTTTGACGGGTTTAGCCCCGTCGTCGTCAACTGATCCGGTCCAGCTGGTCGGGGAGGACGCAGCGAGCGTTCTTAAAAGTAAATCTTCCTTCGTTCCGTTTCAAAATGTGGAAGATTCCCGACGCATACCGTGAGTAAAATGCTGCGGACGTTTTCAACAAAATTACGTCGTTTTAATTGAACAAGGGACTTCGGATAGTTTCCCTAAATCTGCCGTTTCTATGCTTCGTGTCGTTAGACTGCATTTGCACAGCGACGTGTTCGCACAGCGACGCACACCGCTCGAGTAGATGATTCGGTCCCGCAAACGACCGGTTATACAGAATTTCAGGGAAACTTAAGTCACCACCGATGTTTTCCTGTAAATCTCGTGTGACTCGTGTGAGTTTGTTGCGCTCATCATGCGGTGTGAATAAACTAGGGCAAGATTTTCTACCTGCCCAAAGATGCATGAACTGAGACCAATTTTTTACGTAGAGAACATAGTGGTTTTTCTTTACATTGGGAAGAGGCCGGAATTTGTCTCTTTTCCCTCTGGCACTGCCCCAAGTTTCAAGTTGCAGTTTCAGTAGACATACCTACTAACAGGTACAAACTGCTCTAAAGCAGGTAAAAGACTGGGAAGTCAGGACGGTGCGGACACCGTGTTTTGCGCTTCTCGCAAGGTGACTGATGCTTTTGCGAGGTATGCGGAATATGCAAACGATTTTGTTATGCCCTTCGTTTGCGTCTCCAGAAAAAAGAATAAGATTATTTACAAATTTTGGCGCAATCACAAGCCAAGATTTACGATAACAGTGCGTTCGCTTCGGTGGTCCGTGTAGTGGTATTATACGCTGCTTTCTGCAACACCGCGTCATGACGAAGAGCTGGAACGGTCACGGTCTGTGCTGGGCTAGCGGTTGACAGAAACCCGCATCGCCCGCATCGGCACCGAGTGCACTTGGGCTGATGATGTTCGAGCCTTTCATACGTGGCTTGTCGCCAGCTGATCCTGCTGCTCGACGGTGAGGAAGCGCCCGCATCGGCACCGAGTGCACTTGGGCTGATGATGCTCGAGCCTTTCATACGCGGCTTGTCGCCAGCTGATCCTGCTGCTCGACGGTGAGGAAGCGGCGAGTGTGACCTCTGAAGTAAATGTAAATCCTCGTTCATCCAGTTATCCAGTGTCAAAGTGTGGAAGATGTCCAACGTGTACTGAGGGCGGGAACTACGAGCGTTTTGCCTTGCTTTTATAACCGAAACCAGAGCAGCGAGATAATTGCCTTGCGTACTCCAAAATGACGCAAGCAATAAGTTTCAACAGGTCGATTACGTCACCGCGGATGTAGGCGAGACTGTGCACTGTTTAAACGCTTGCAGTATCCACGAGTGCTACCAGAAAAACGACGTCAACAGGGAAGGAGCTCGCGATTTTAGCATAATGCAGTGCCACGGGCTCGTGAATTTTCAATGTGGCTATATAGAAATATTAAAAAAAAAAAAAAAAACGCATCAGCGCCACATTAATGATCACGAATAACACCGGTCACAAACCCCCAAGCCTCACCGCTTCGCTCGACACCAACACGACATACGACAACAATCTGCATCAAAACGCCCCAAAAGTGAAGGCGTCTGCTCCCGTACGCGTACTGCGCGTACTACAACTAGCGGAAGTGAAGTGTTGGGCGGATGTCCTTCACAATAATATATATAAAAAGTGCCTTGCGCAAGTATAATTTCCATTGATTATTGAATACGTACTGATAAAATCCCAATCATTTGTTTTTCTATCTGATTCAAGCGAGTCGGACTGCTCATAACACTGGTCGAGCATGAAAATAACAAAAATTTGAACTTTTTCATGGCTGGTTTAAGATTTATTGTTAGTACATCGTTGTTTTTCGCAAAGGACTAATTTTACAGATTTTGCCTCCATACTTTTTAAATGCAAACAGTTCTTACATACGGCTGTCCATTGTGCCGTGTCTTGTGTCTTCTTCTATAAATCGGTAACGATCAGCGACCAAAGAGCTCACCCGTACATGTCAAGCATATATACGCCGCGGGGAGAGTCCGTTGTTAGTAGGAAGTGTCGGGCGTAGTGTCGGTGTTGTGTTTGTGTATGTGTCGGTGCTGTGTTCTGCGTGGTGCTCGTGTTGTCTGTGATGTATGAGAGTAGCAGTCTGCTCGTGATAGTTCCCAGCGTATTAACCCGTATTTACCGACTCCTGCTTTTTTTTCATTGGTTGCTAGAAATCGCACTAGGTGGCGCAAGTTACCGCCCGATTACAAGAGTTTGCTTGAGCTATTTATCCATGTAAGCTCAATATTCGTTTTTTGTTTGCTTTTGTTTTTGTCTAGCGGTTTTGTCGTAGCTGCCGACGCCACCGACCGCCGACGATGCACGTAGGTACCTTTGCACGTAGCTACGTCCGCCGCTCGGAGACTGTTTACTGTGCATAAAAGACATCGAACGAGAACGAACGCGTCCTGTATGCTTTCAGTTCGGCTGAAAGGCGCGGCTGGCTGGGCTCATCCCTCGCCTGTTCTCGGCTGCTGGCCGCCATGTTTCATA